GGAAAATCGGAGCATTTTTTACTTGAATTAATAGAATCATTTAAATCAGTTCACCTCTGGTTCATATAAAATAAAATAAAAATATATTTTTTCTTGCTTTCATTTTTTTTCAGTTTGTGATATTTGCTTGTTATCATAATCAACCGTTTTGTATTGCAAGTGGTGCGAAGCTAAGCTTCGTCTCTGTTTTTTTTTTAAATTTTGTCCGATTATGTTAAAAACTTTAGAAGCTTTATTTATATACGATGGGGTTTTTTCTTGAGATTTGAGTTTCGTTGTTCATTAGGAATCAAATTATCAAGCGCAAAGATACATTTTTGTTCAGAAGCTTCTTATAAAAAGTTAATTTGGAGTTCTAAGTCATTTATTTTGTCCTTTTGTTCAATTAGAAATTGTACGAATCATTAAATAACGAGAAATATATATTTAGTTTACTTCTTCATAAACATCATAGTTGCGGATGAAGCACTAGTCGTACCTTAGAGTTGAACGTATTTGCAATAGCATTATCGATTTTTGTATTTTAAGATATCTCGAAAAATGAGTGCGAGCTCAGAACCACAATCTCTGCTGCCACTTGAATTGATTGATAAATGTATTCGATCGAAGCTATGGATTATCATGAAAAATGACAAGGAGCTGGTTGGGACGCTGTTGGGTTTCGATGAATTTGTGAACATGGTTCTTGAAGATGTAACCGAATTTGAGAATACATCCGAAGGACGGCGCTTCACGAAGCTAGACAAAATTCTTTTGAATGGAAATAACATAGCCATGCTTGTACCTGGAGGAGAGGGACCTGGATATTATTAAAAACTTTTTATTCCTTAGCTATCGCAGTTTAAGTTTGTGTTTGCCTGTTGTTTTTGATTCGAGAATGCTTTGGCAACATTGATGAAGCTATCAAATGTTTCAAGAAACAAATAGGATTTAGTAGAGTTGAAGGGAAGATTGGAAAGAAATATTGGTAGCTGTGCAAGTAGCACACATTGTTACGTAAGATGTCACATTTCCTTAAAACAGGAAAACTCATACTCTCAATTAACACTTTTCAAATCAGGTACAATATTTTTCCTGAAAACCACGTAGCAGAATTGTAATGATGCTGAATGTTGCTCAATTGAGTGTTCGTAGAAAATCTGCGGGAGCTCTTCTAACACCAGTAGGGGAGTCTTCCACAAGTCCACTAGGGTTGCTGTTATTGGATTGGCCGGGCAGTTGAATGGATATTGACAGTCTTCAATGCTGGTGTTGCGCTCAGTAACTTCAAAAAAAGTTCAATTAAAATGGGCCCTTCCGTCATGCGACGGTACTTGCACAGTTTGGATAGGGCCGTACCAACACTATATAAATACATCGGCAAAGTTCTATGAACAAATCAAGTCGATTTTAATGTATCCAGAGAATTGTCAATTAAAATCTACCCTCCTCGATTATAGCACAGATAGAATTGTCTGTTGGATGTGTTTTTTGCACCCCCTGAGGCAGAGGATTGCACTCCTCAGAAGTGCAAAACTTATTTTTGTTCTTGTAAACTTTATTGTGTCCAAGTATGATTCGTTTTTCGCTTAGTTTCTCTGCTAGTTTCTGGACGGTTTTGTAGAGCCTGGTGCTGCTCCTCCGGTACACGCAATAATTAGTGGAACAAAGCTGCTGTGTTCCACAGCCAGAATTCTTTGTTGGTATTTTAATGTTTGACACTCTCATGATATTTATAGTCGTCACATTAAGTTTTAGGGCAGGATTTAGCATGTGGGTTGAAAATCCTGGTTCAAACCCTGGGGCACTCCACAGTGTGCCATCTGGGCGTTGAGGATCGCATCTCTGAACAATGATCGAGCCATTCTACATCGGAGGTAGACTGCAAGCCGACCAGTCACGGCGGGGTTGAGCATAGACCGAAGCACGTGACCAAAAAGCTTGTCGATTTCACACGGTCAAAAGCTTGGCTGAGGCTCACTGCTGCGAGCAGTCCTCCTGCGAGCACAGTCCTGCCGGGAGTTCTCTTCCGGTCGATACTTATTGCGATATCAATGATGCTGAATCTATTTTCAATATTTTAAATGGTTTTTGATTACTTTCGCAGTTAGCAAAGGTATTGAAAACGTTTGCTAACTGTTCGCATTATTTATTTTGTTAAAATAGTTCATCGTTTTTTAAATTAGCAAATCGATTTCCTGCAACCAGTTTTGCTGCTGCAAGTTCAAATGAGTCAAACCCATCGTTAAACTAGAGATGTCTTTAAGCATGAACACATATTGAGTGCGGTGATTTTTTGGCTCAGGAGGGGTAAGTTTGTTGACAAAGAATTTTTCAGTTATTTTTGAAATAAGAATTATTTGTCTGTATTGTGAGAAGTCATTTTAGACATTTTTTTGAGTACTGATGTTATTTCACTGACTTTCCACGCCTTAGAAATATTTAATTTATACAGGTGTGATTATAGTTTCAGGTTTTTCGCCAAATAAGACAATTTGGTTGTTAATTATGATTTTGCCAATATTGTCTGGTAGAAAAAAAATTGAACTCTAACAGAATATTATTGCGAAAGAAATTTTGTAAAGTTTTCAGAGGGTGTTTTAACTGGGTACAAGACTTTTTTCCGTAAACAACTTTTCTACTTGCTGTAGAATAAATTCGAGGAGCATTTGGCGCAGTGGTAACATTCTGCTATAGACGACAAAGTATAGAGCTCGAATCCGATTGGAATCTGTTTTTTTTTACAAACAGAATATTTGACTACTTTAGACTCGACTGTCGGCTTAGATCTTTGTCGGCTTAGATCTCGCAGAAAGGAACTTTTTGGCGCTTTGACTTCCTTCTTGCATTGTAGTAGCTCCATAGAAAGTTTTAATGACTTAAGTGTTTTTTCCAAGAAATTTTTTTGGCTTCTAATTTGTTTAATATTTTCTGGCAAAAGAGATGTTTAAAGATTTTTTCAATTTTGATTTGACTTTTCATTTGTTTTAATCATAGTCAGTCAGTTTTCTATCACAAATGGTGTTAAGCTCATCTTCGCCTCTTGTGTTAAAAGTTCTTGCAATAATATATGTGCTCTGAGTCTTCTCGGCTTGTTGCACTTTCGTAATTCTTGAGACTTGTTTTACACATGTGAGCGTGGGTAATGTGTTATGTTACGATAACCTTTTTTCTTCGAATAAATTAATGTATGTTTTGAAAAACACTTTTAGTGCATAGAATTGGCAATTTAATAACATGTGATAATTCAGTCTGTTTCGATGTTAAATATCGTGTGTCGCGAATCAAAATCACTGAATCGATAATTTCAATGTTTTTTCGTATGTCTTATTTGCTGTAAGGATCATGACTGACTTCCTTGAGTGTTTAGGTGCAGTTGCGAGAAAGTAACCCTTTTCTCCAGTAAAATTTTGCTTACAAATCTGTAAACAACTTGCTTACATGCACGTGCAAATGCTGATATTAAATGTCATATGACAGCATTGATGACTTTTTTCATACTACATATACATTTGTACTACATATACCTTTGTTCATTTAATTTTGTTTGAATGAAAATTTACTGAAAAAATTCAGATTGGATGGCTTCGGTCGGTACAATTTCCGTTTTTTTTAAATTGCCATCTGTGAGAAGTTGAACTCACTTTATGATTCAATAAAAATTATTCCAGGCTCTTTTTCTTTTGGTATGGAGATCCCAGTCCCACGGGCTCGTTTTTGCCCTTGGGTTGGGTGGAATTCGAGTCCCTCTCGGCCTGGTTTTTTGTTCAGTGTATATGAAATTGATTTTTTTTTGGGAGAAATAAAATTATCAGGTTTTCTTTTTGGTTTTTGACAGCTTATTTCCCAAAGCATGGAGTTTTTATCATCCAAACAAATGTTGCTATTATTGACAGTTGTTCTGTTCTTTCGTCAGTTAACCAACTCGGATTCTGATTAAGTTCTGTTATTAATATTTTTTAATGATTTTAGCTGATGTTTCGTCAGCATATTTAAGTTGTTTTGTGTTTGTTTGAAAGGCATAGTTAACTGTGAATTTGAAAAAATGAGGATAGTTGTGGTGTATACGTTTTACGTTTTATAAACTTAATCACTCAACAATTTTTTGTGACGACAATTTCTTGTCTCTTTTTTTTTATTTTCGGCTCTGCGCGTTTTCCAAAGTATTGTCGGCTGCTCGGTAAATGTGAACGGTTTTTTCAACGCCGGTAGTTGTGCTTCTCGTTCTTTTTTGTTTCTGTAAGTGGATACTTCAATTTTTCGACTTATTTGCGTCTTATTTTCTATTCGCTAGCTTGCCATGATACTCTTGCGTTGTATCGCAAGTAGTGCAAAGCATTGCTTGGTCTATATGTAGTCGGAATTTTTTCCTGTTGAACTTTCTGCAAGTGTCTTGCAGAATAATATTCATTTCTTTACTGTTTTACGTGTGTTATTTTTGTGCCTGTCCGCTTTTTAGTTTAACTTTATAGTGCTAATAACTTTCGGCTCACGTTATTCCGCAAGTTTTTTTTAGTAAAAAATCTTTCGAAGCTTATTTGCTCAATTTAGTTTTTTCTTGCATCCTTAAGCTCGTTGGGCCTTTCGTCGCTTGTGTTTGCAAAGTGTAGGTTCGCCTCGGTGTTAACTTTTGCGACAGCAAGCGTCTGATTGGGCATCAAGCCTCTTAAAAGTTGATTTTAGATGTTTTTTTTTTTCAATCGAGTTTTCGCTAGCGTAGTGTTACACGGCCACCCCGCATTTATCCTACCTAGCTGGTCAAATTGTAAACATCATCTGCGAGCAGTTTTCGTAAAGTTTCGTTGTTTTGAAAGTAGTGAATATGCTGGACTAAGTTTAAACGACTTTTCTCCGAATTTCAAAGCGCTCGAATTATCATTGTTATTCGAATTGAGGTCTGCTGAGTAGCCCCAATGTGTTTCCTGGTCTGGGATATATTCGTTTCAGTACTCTAACTCTTTGAATTTGATTCAATTTTATTATTTTAGAGCATTATTTGGTGTTTTATTGCATTTTGTTTTTTCTTTTAGTTATTTTTTTTGTTGTTTTTAGCTGTTTGCGAACTGCACCTTCTCTTTTGATTTCAAACCCTGAAACTTCATTTTTTATGCTGAAGGTTAGAAGATTTTATGCTCTTAAAATTTCTGAAGCAAATGATAAATGGTTGCATTGGTGATGTTTACCCCTGCGATAAGCAAGACGATTGCAACCGGGTGCCAGACTTTTTGCCCGTAACTAGCTTGGTTCAAAGAATAGGCTAAATTGAGATTGTAATTTTTACTAATGTACCCTTTACATTTGCCATGTAAATGTAATATATCAATTTCTTATAGCAGGTATCTTATAATTGAGAATGAATATTTTTTATTCAAGTTTAAGTCACACCAAGTTCAAGCTACTAATTCTGAGAGTTGGGCGCAGAGGTATAGATTACGCTAAGGGTGTTGAGCTCATTAGGCCGAGTCCTGTTAGAACTTCAGTTTCATGCGTAGTCTGTTAGAACGCTATTTTTGTGTTGCATCGCAATTGTTGCGAAGCTTCGCTTTGCCTCTGTAAAAATTTTGTTTCTTATTTTAAGCATCTCATATTTTTAAATGCGTCTTCCACTATCTCCCTATGTTTAAGCTATACCATATGTTTCATGTTAATAATTTTCGAACAACTTTTGCTTGTCTAACAAAACGGACAAATTTTGCATGTCTAAGTTTTATCGTATACGTATATTGCAATGCTTAAAAATCATTTCAGAGCAGTTTGAGGAGCAGAGTGGCCACATGGTCATTATTTATGACCAGTCATTGTTTGTTAGTATTTGGTCATTTTTTTCTTTGACGGGTCATTATTTTTTAATGACTTCCTTTCTTTTTCCCTGTAATACTTTTTTGTGATAAAAATATTGCAAAGGGTTGCGTATTTTTTGAAGTCATACATTTTTCCATTCGCTCATTTATCAAGTCATCCACACATCCGTCACGCCATCCATCCATCAAACCATCCATTTATCCAGCCATCTATCTAGTCATCAATCTATCCAAGCATGCATGCAGGCATCCGTTCTTCCATCCAGCCTTCGATTCACCTATCTATCTAGCCATCCATTATCCATCCATCCACCTAGCCACTGATCTTTAAAACCATTAATCCATTCAATCATCCATCCATTCGTCAAATCATCCATCTAGCCATCTGTTCTTTCATCTAGCCATCCATTATCCATCAATCCACTTAGCCTTCTGTTCAGCCATCCATCACGTCATCTATCTAAACCGTCAGTCATGCATCCATACCGTCAGTCGTACATCCTTTCATCCACCTTTCCGTCCATCCAATAAGGCATCCGTCATCCATCCAACGAGCAAGCCATCTAGCCTTGTATCTATTTATTTACCCATCGCCCATCCAATCAGCTATTTATCTATCCAGTCATCCATCTGTTCAGGTATCCATATATCTAACCAGCCAACCTTAGACGTATGCTTCCAGTCGGCAATTCATTTATCAGCCATCAATCCAATCTTCTATCGGTACTTTTATTCATCCGTACGTCGATCTCTCCATTGTGCCATCCAACCTGCCATTTGGCCATCCATTCAGTCATCTGAATTTGCTGCTGCCGCCATCCCTCCCTGCAGCAAAACTTCGGTCCATCCATCTACCGATCCATTCAGCCGACTATGAATCCATCCATCCACCCATGCGACAATTCATCGTTCCTTCCAGCCAGCGATACTAACATTCATCCATCTAGCTATCGATTCATCCTTTAATCCAGCCATCCATCCAGTGTCAATCCAGCCATCTATCGAAACAACCATTCATACTTCCATCGCTCCTTCCATTCAGCCATCCAACCAGTGATCCATCCATTCAGACATCTGAGTTTGCTGATGCTACGATTATCTGAATTTGTTCCTGAACTTTTTTCCTTTCAAGACATACTCTGCCACTTTTCAGCAGCAGCTTTAGCTGCAGTGAGTCCGCTAGTCATTTTGTGATTTCAACCGAGTAGGTTGCTGACAAATAACAAGACTTAGCGTTGTGACTCTTTCATTTGTTCTTTTCTTGTCATTGTAAGCATGCAAAAGGTTTTTAAAGATTTTTGTGATGCTCATTTTCTGCAGGTTCATCGAAATAATTGAAAATACCAACCCCTTGAGCTCAAAGTTGATACAATGCACAATCTGTGACCATTTATCATAATGTTATTAGGGCTTGCAATTTTTAACTATGTTGGACTACTTTATGAGCCTTTTTATGCGCATATAATGCTCAGCGCGTCAGTAGCGGCTTATTTAAAGGCGGCGAAATAGTCAAACTTCCATTTGGCGCAAATAAATGTTATTCCAAATTCAGTTGAGACAAGCTTATTGGCTCAACTATTTTTTTCCTTCAAGACAAATTATATTTTTCAGATTTAATTATTTCGATCATCCGGGTGGGAAGCAGCGACGTTTTAGTTTGTTTTCAGCACAATTTTGACTACCTCAAAGAAAGCTTGTAGAGGTGTCAAATGTGGTATCATAATAAAGCCGCATTGTTCGCGAATCGGTTTCGTAAGAAATTTTCGCAAAGTTTTCACAGCATCAAGAAAAACTGGTTTGCACGTTTCTGTTCTTCAGACAAAAGGTTGAAGAAATGTTCAACAATTCCCAATCATTTTTTTTTTCAGTTTCCTTGTTTTACATTTTCCAACTGTCTGTTGGCTATTCCTCAGCAAATTATCAACCCATTTTTGCAGCGATACTTTTATTTGATTGCACTTATCTTAAAAACTTCGAATGATAAAAAGTTTTTCTGATGAAAATATATTGTTTGATAGTTTTGAAAACTCTGTGCGAACGATTTGAACTTTGAACTTCAAGTTTGTCTATGTTAAGTTCTGATTCGCAAGCAAACGTGGGACTGAGATTGAATTCCTTTAAAGAACTATCTAAGAAGTTGCAATTATTCCGATACCTTGAAAGAGGCCAGACTCGCCCCCTCCGCTAGAAAAATCTTCTGGAAGCTACTGACGTTTCTGGCATAAAACAAACCGAAAATTCTTTGAAAGCATTTCAGTACGTATGTATTTGGTAGAGTAGATCATCATTCTTTTTAGTGGAGTTGATTTGAGATGAGAATACAAGAGTTCAAGCAGACGGCTTTTCTCTTCCATGGAAGAGAGCGAATGTGTTTCTGGCGCCTGAAGATTTTATCTGTTTTGGAGGTATTCCCTAATGCCAATACCGATGAAGTGGCCGATTGTCTCTCCCCTATTCTGCGTGATCAATCACTCGAGGACAAGGAAGTGTTGGCGACTTTTCTGTCGGTGTACGATGTCCTAGAAAAGACAAAACCCCTGCTGATGGAGAGTATTATGAAATGCGTTTTCAGAAGCAAGAGCTTACTTTGTTTTGCCCTTTTTTGGATTGCTTGGGCGAAGTTGTCAGTGAAATTGGATAAAAAGACGGATGCACTTAAAATATGCCAAAAAGGTCAGCTATTCAGTATCAACAGAATTTGATCGATTGTGTGGCTTATTTTCTTTTTTTTGCAATAGTTTGCTAAAATTCTTTGATGCTCACATTTTCTATTTGCAAGAGTATTCAAATCAGTAAAATTTTCCGCGGACTTTTTCCGTGAAGAACTCCAAGAGAATTTGTGAGTCACATGCAAGTTGTTTATTAGTCATAACAATTTCAAATAATTTAGCGCTAAGGTAGGGTATATGCGCGGGCAGAAGAATGTGAATTGAAAAGTGTTAGGAAAAGCTAACATTAGATTAAATAGATTTAAGTACCCTATTAATATTAGTGGCTTTAGATTCCAAAGATTTCTTCAGCCAATTATCTACATGATGATGAGTAGTTACTTAGTGTTTAAGTTATAACCATTTAGGACTGAAGACAGAAAACCTGGACAACCCTGGAAAAATCGAGAAGGCCTTGAAAAATATAAATGCAAACGAACAAATAGTACTTGATGTGTTTAATGAATCTCGCAGTGGATCCGCCAGTCTTTTGTCCGTCATTCGGAGCCTTGAGCAACAAGACAAAATTGAGAAGGCATCTCTTAAGGAAGTTTCGCAACAACTTGGAGAATTACTTCATAGTAGCTCAGAATTGCGAAATGAGGTTGAAAACTTCAAACGGCAGACTTCGTTGTGCTTTAGAGAGTTGAAAGAAGAGATGGAAAAAAGTAAACGTGACATGTTACGAGCATCAGCACTCAACCACACCGAAGTTCTGTCGTCAATAGAAGATAAATTGAACAGTTTTCATTATCAATTGAACCTTAAAGACAACAGAAAGGGAGGCGAAGATTCGAACTTTGAAGAAACAAAAGTGCAAGAAGACAGTTTTATATCATTCATCTCGCAAAGTAGCTCTAAGCCGAAAGAAGAGGTGAGTCATAACACGAACAAGCAAGGTCGATCGAGTTTGATTTCATTTTCTCCCGACTTGGAGCAGAATCAGAAAAGTGGATCTAATAATAAAACTTCCAGTGATGATTTTTTGCAATGCTGTAGTATGTCTTTTGTTCAATTGCCCCAATCGAATAGAGCTGAGGTTGATTTGGATTTTTCGAAAACCAAGGCATTGAATGGGAGCGAGGAAGCCTTATTGACTCCCAGAAGCGAGCGATTAGGGGAACCACTGGAGTCAGCGCTAGTGCACGAAAAAATCGCTGGTGACAGGAAACAAGAAAACGCACATTGTAGCAAACCGGAAAGTGGATGTTCAGGACGTGTGTCGACGATTCAGAGATCTACAGGTAAAGCATTTTTCATGATTATTGAGATATATTTATCAATTTTGAGGCCTAGGTTGTTTTATCTGTTTTATTGTAACCCTTGCGATTGGCTACTCGCTTGTCTGCTTGCTTTACTACTTGTCTTTTTTCACTTCATTCGGCATTCTTGTCTTCGAAAAGTTCAGTGGGGGGTTTTTGACCCATTTTTTTCACCTTTGCGACAAGCAAGGGTATTGCAATCGGGTGCTAGACTTTTCCCCCGTAAACAACTTTAGTCACAGTATGATCTCCAATGTGAAGATATCCTTTTTCAGCACGTTGTACGTGTAATACCTGGAGTTGTTCTCCTGAGAGTTAACGCGTTACTGGATCTACTGGTAAAAATAATTCAGTAGTTGAATTTTTTTTCTTAATAAATTTTGGCCTAATTTTTGTCGGCTTATTTGCTGGGTGTTCTTTTTTGAAAATTCTATTCAATTGATTATTAAATTCAATTCGTAGAAAGTAACACAATGAAAGGGTGTTTTCATACTCGTTTTTTAACACGCTTTTGTTTACACGCGAAAGCTTTCAGTTTGAAACGAAAAAGCTTTCAAGCAATTATTATTTGATTTTTTTTTCATTAATTGCCCCTGCGATAAGAACGGGTTTTGCAATCGTGTGCTAGACTTTTTTTCACAGAATGGTTTTCCGCACTGAGGTTGTTCTGCTTGAAATCTGTCGGCTTATTTTCCGAATGTTTTCCTATTAGTTATTTGATTTTATAACGATTTATATCTAATAGCAAAATCTAAATCACCCTCTTAATTCTTTCGTAGTACAATTAGAGTTAAAATCAAACATAATAAACTGTCAATTTTGAAAAAAATTTTGTTGATTTTTTCAAAATCAATTTAAGACTTTTTGTTCATTTATTATTATAATATTCAATTCAATCTATTATCCAGTGCATCTGGCATAGAGGTAACACATATGCTTGAAGAAAAATGCTTGTGGTTCGAATTTTTAACTAGAAATTTAGTGCTTGTTCATGCAATCGTCTATCTCTATACTTTAACGCTTAGTTCCCATTGTACAGACACTTCTTGAAGATTCGGCTGTTTTCAGATCCATTGAAGACCACTAGTGGACGTATTAATCTATATATTTTTTGCAAAATTCTTGCTGGATTTTGAAAACTTTTTAATATAAATTTTACAGTTTATTGTTTTTGAAAACTTTTCAGAAAATTTGCTTTGTCGGTCAATGAGCACGGAATTATCAAGCATGCGGATAATATTCTATCTATTAGCATTTATCATATTCTAGCAATCATCATTTTTTTTTCACATCAACAATCATCAACAACTTTTTTTTAATATAGCGGCTTTCGTCTCACTTTCTGTCTGCCATTTCGTTGTGCAATGTTTGTGTGGTATTCCAAAATTTGTCCCTCACGGTTTTCTTTCGACTTAAACCCTGTCGGTATAGGTTCCGAATTGGGTCTTGTATTCACTACATATAAAGCACTCGCGGCACTTTATAAGCAGTATATTTCAGTTGATTTTCAGCTTATTGGCTATCTGTTGTAATTTTGCGGGCTTTTCTAGCCAAATATTGTTTCCTCTAAATTTCTTGTTTTATTTTAAAGATCGACAAGATTCTGGCTCTATAGTTCCGAATGCTCAATATCAACCTCAGAAGGTCCTTCTGAAAAAATGTAGATATATTTATTCATAAACAAAAACCATCTTTTTTCATTTTTGAAGTTTTTTTTCTAAATCTTTTTTCAGTTTTTTTCTCCGCTCGAAGTCTTCTTTATTACTTCTCCAGCCCCATGCTGTATTAATCTTACTTTTTGTATCGCAAGTGGTGCGATGCTCAGCTTCGGCTCTGTGTTTTCAGTTTTCGATTGAAATCATGGTTTCTGATTATAACTTAAAGTTCTGCCAAACATCCGGAGCATGTTTTGTACTGTTACACTTGCTTGAGACTCAAAGGCCGGTGGCTGGAATCCGACCGAAACCAGTTTTTTTGCAAACTTGATTTTTTTTGTGATTTTTCGGGCTATCGTCCGTCTGCCTATTTTTGTCGGCGTGATTCCCTTAGCCCAATTTTTTGAAGTTTCATCTTTTTTCTAAGTTACTGTTACACCCATGCTTGAAACGACAGAGTCCAATTGTTCGATTCCAGTCGAGACCTGTTTTTATTTTTTGCAAATTAAAACTCGTGTAATTTGTATTTGTGTCTGCTTATTTTTGCTGACTTAGTTCGCGTTTTTTGAAAATTCGACTTCTTTCTAGCATTCGGAAAGCTCTTTGTAAAGTTTTTAATAGTGCAGGTCATTTTCTGGATATACTAAGCTTTTTAGCAATTTTTTTTGATCAAAACAATTTTTTTTTATTTCAAACAGTCATCATTTTTGAATCGTAAGTGGCGCTAAGCTCAGCTTGGCCTCTGTGTCAATAATGTTGTTGAGTCTCATTTGAAGCTCATCAAAACCTCGGAGCTCAATCTATTAAAATTGTTAAAGGAAAGATTGATTTTGAGTGCGGCAAAAAAGAAATTTCTCTAGCAGTATCGATCTTTCGATCAGCTTAAACAGCGTTCTACTCAGCTTAAGCTAACTTTTTCATCATCGAGTTTGAAAAATGTGTTATTGTTTTCCCTGAAGGGCGGCAACTATCTCTGAACGCAAGCTTTAATGCTTTCGACGAGCTAGATAAAGAAATGAAAGATCCTACATATAGTGTTATTCGACCCCGAAACTCGTTAGCCGCTCCGGAAATTGACAGAAAAGAAGTGAATAGGTTAATGGAAGAAATGCTCGATTGGCGTTGTCTTACAACTGTCTCACGATCGACAAGGGCAAGATCAGTTGGGTCATCTGGAAATCAAGATTATCAATCGGAAACCGAAAATGATAATGGAGCCAAAACAGAAAACAGAGATACCAAAAGCTGTGCGCCAATGGCTCCAATAGTTATCTCTGCTCAACTCGATAGTTTGCTGTTAGACTCCCCCAAAACTTCGCAATTTATGAAGAAGAAATTGAGTAATGGCAACCAGAGACGAGTTTCGCTGATCGAGTACACGCAGGTTGAGGACAACGACGAGTTTATAGCAAGTGATACATTTGAAGGATATACTCAATTCGAAAACACTCAGAATACAAATTCGCTCGCAACAACAGACTTGGACGAAAATGCAATGATTTTGAAAGACAACGAAAACGAAGATAGTTTACTTGAGAACAAGTTTGCGCGCAAGATTGTTCGTGACAGTTTTGGCTGCAGAGCTAGTGTCAATAGTAGAACAAGTAGTGACTCAAGGATGCCGCTAGACATCATAGGTTAGCGATATTCTTTGTCTTAGCGATATTCTTGGTTTTAACGCGATAACTACTCGCAACTAGGTTTAAGGTACTCATATAAGGTATTTGTTTCTAGAAACTAATTCAGTATAAATTGTAATTACTTGCTGTTAGAAGATTCTCAAAACTAGTGAACTGAAAACTTTATTGCCTGAATTTTGCTAGTAATCTATAGGAGTTTTTAGCAACTAGGCAGGTCGCGAGAGGGGACAGGTCGGTGATATAGTGGGAGAAGCATTTTGACATTTGATAACTTACTTGGAATAAAAAAAACTCTAAATAAATTGAATAAAAAAATTGGCTTTATACTTGCACTTTTAGGCAACGAAGAGAACATTAAGCCTCAATCGAGTGCTGGTGGAAAAAATTGCAGCACTCCCTCCAATCAGCGCACACAGAATCCGAGGAAATCAATGCTCCGAGGACTGTCTGTGCTCTCTCCAATCGAAGATGAAGGATCTTCTTTTGAGTCGTCGTCCCACAAGTCATCTATGAGTAGTTGTAATATGTCCGATCAGAGTGCAAATTGTACTGACTATTCGGCCAAGTGAAATGTTTTAACAAAATAGGCGAGTCTCACAGTTTTTGGGCCAAATATATTAAATAGTGATGGGACAAGACAGAAACAGGAGAGCGGTTACTTAAGACACGCAATACTAAATTATCTCATTTTAATCTTTTGGTTCCAATCCGACCACAGAAGCACAGAAGGTGAAGCGAATATTGAATTCGGATGATTTTTTATGCAAAAGCATCTACTACGTAGAAAAATTATAGGCAATGATTGGTTTATCTTTTTGATACCCAATGATTCGTGATTTGAATTAAAAATTGAAGAAAAATTCAACAAAATGAGAAAACACGGTTTGAAAATATCGCTTTTCATTCATTAAAACTGTGGTTGGAATATTTTTTGCTAGGTGGATAGTGACAGGACATTCTTCTTCGTATGTAATTGTGCGCTAGCTGACCCTGATTTGTCCTTAAAAACTCGTTTGATTTTGATTTCGCTTTGATTTTGGATTTAATTGTGATTATTGTGTGTTGTTCATTGCGTTTTGAGCTAGATAATTTAAATGAGTTAGAGCATTAAGTTTTACCTTTAATTTGTAGTATTTCCCAATAAGAACTTGGTATTGGATGAAGTGAGGCCCCAATTGTTTGAAAAGCCGAATGTCATAAAATTATAACTAACCAATCAGAACTGAGTATTCGTTTAAATAAACAAATCCAGGAGATAAAAATCACTTTTAGTCAATAAAATGAGCAGATAATGCAAGCGGGCTGATACATATTGCTTGATTGTCAGTTTCGAGACCCGGGATGGTAATAGCACAAGCTAATTTTTCCATTTTAACTCATAAATTTGTGCTCAAATTATTTGACGAGCGAATCAGTTGCATATGTTTCATCTGCTATATTAAGCACCTTGTTTTTACATTTACATTTGTAAACTCTGAACCAGCTAGGACAGGCAAGAATTAGAAGTCTTCCTATCCGGAGTTCTGCGGTTGGAATCCCATAGTCGGCATTTCTTATTATTTTAAAGCTCAGTTTTGCTCTTTTTGTTTTTTTTGCCAATTGTATTCTCGCCTCTGTGGAAACGCCCACCAGTATTCACATCGGCACAAACTCTTCAGCGAATAGAAACACAGGCACTCAGTCCTTCTATCATTGGAATAGCCACTGTCGCTAGACATAACGAGCTGCATACTGCAAACGCTAGAAAAAACCTCGAACAGGGTTCTTTTCGGTTGATTTTTTCACTGACTCTTAAGTAATCATAAATTAAAGTAACTTTCAGATAAAAATTCCGGGTTAGGCGCATAAATAGAGCTTTCCAATTAAATCATGCTTAAGACCCAGCAAGCGTTGTGTTTTTACCTTTTTTCGACTTCATCGGAAACACCGTGTTTTCTTCAGAAATCGAGTTCTGATTGTTTTCATTATCTACATGTGCTACAAAGACTTCGGAAACGTCCTTTATTTCTTCTACAGACCGCGAAGCTTATGAGCGACTCGATTTTATTCAAAAACATTTCAGCTATTTGAATTTGACTTTTTGTTTTGCTATCTTGAATTGATTCGTTCAACTCTGTTTTCGATTTTCAATCGGAGTTATCTGGATGTCCTTCATTAGTTTTGTGTTTTTTAGCCATTTTTTCAAGCTGCGGATGAATAGCGGCTGCAAAATCTTCGCTTTTTTCTAAATAAGTTTCTGAGCTGTTATAAATTGCTTCCTCCTGGCGCGCATAGCTGTTTAGATTGAGCGAATTTTGAATAATCAGCAGATAGTAGTGTACTTTCATTAATTAAACACATTATGGAAAACAAACGCAACGCGGCCATCCGCACCTAGCACAACATATACAATGCGATTCCCTATCAAATGGTCTTCAGAAGAGTACTTTCTAACCAGATACGATAGCTCTTGAGAAGCTGCGAACGTTTTTTTTTGATCCGCGACTAGTTTTCTTTCAGGACTCAACTTCGACGTAGTCTTGTCTTGATTTATATAGGCAGAATAGTGTGATCTGCCTTTCTTTTAACATGCGTGACTCTCGTAGCGCTGGCTAGCAGATTGCCTCGTGTTTTTCCAGATTCACCGGCATTAACGGATTTTTCCAATTACAATCTGCATTGGGAAGAAGTCCGAAAAACTATTCCAGACATGTATCGCTCCCGGATACTCGTTACTTTTCTTCCTATAAAATGTGAGATAAAGTACCATTGAGACTCTTACAGACGCTTAACTGAAAAGCTTTTTAATATTTTTTTCTTTGTAATCCGAGATAAGATGAAAGTTTTTTATCATGTATCGAGCCGCCATCATGGACTTTTTGATATGCCTTATTATGCTTGCGATTAGTAAGCGTTAGCAAATCCGAATAAATTTTTTTCTAGGTAAACAACTTGTCTAACACAATCATTGAATAGTTTTCTGAAATCTGTGTTTTTGTAAAACAACACATGTTTTGAAATATGCCTGGATTTTAATCAGCCGTTCTATTCAAAATCTTTTTACGCTTGTTGTATACTCATCAAAGTTTTTTTGTTCACTCGGCTCAAAATTTTTCGACTTGTACTATATTGACTTATTTATCTCATTTTGCGTCGTTGATTGAGCGAAAGAATTTTCTCATGCGTGTGTTTCTTTTGAGAGGGACTTGAAATCCCTTTTTTAGTTTCTAAGCTTTTTTCGGCTCAAGTTGTGTGCAGATGAATTGTCGGTTTTGATGCTTTTTTCACATTCAGATTCTTGCTTGGTTCATTTTTCCTTAAACGAACGTAATGAAGGACAGATCAAGATGGATATAAAATATCTGAAATATCTAGTTTTTTTTCGACATCTTGAAAAAGTTTTGACTTATAGTCGCTTTCAATTCATTTTAGTTGGTTATTTTTCATGCTATAATTGTGTTGAACCACCGGCTTCTGTGCTGGCATCACAAAATTTGACCTTCGTTGACAGCGGCTCAAAAATATCATTTTTGTAAAACATTTGTTTAGTTATTTCAAACACATTCTGTAATTTAACCGTTTTCGCGGAGAGGCTGTTGGATGTTAAATCGGTGATATTTTACAATAGGTGGTAGTTTCAATTTCAATAGCTGGATCAATTTTTGTTATACTTCGCACATTATTTATAATTTATTTCAAAAGCCACATTTTTTGGCAAAAGAAGTGTGAAGTTTGAACTTTTTGAATAGCTTTTCATATATCAGAGTGAACTATTTACAAAAGCTATCTTATAGCATGTACAATTGATTGAAAATGAATTGACTATTTTATGCATTATAGTTCTCAAATTTAATACATGCACTATATCACCTTCAAATCTAGTTTATTTAGGGTCTGATAGTATTTTTCCGTTAAAAATTAATTCTCCAATTACAAATGTGTCGCAAACATAGAATACCAATTTCTGAGACTTGGAGAGGACAGACAACGGGTCTGCCCAAGTGTCTGCCCCAATACGATGAATAATTATAAAAATTAAAAAAATAATAATCATAAAAAAAATTCTTAAAGAATTAATTTACAGAAATCTTAATCGTCTTTAATCAGAATTCTGATATAAGAGGAAAGAGAGCAACATTATAGAGGTAACAAGTTTCACTACCTATTTAATGAATTTAGCTAATACTGAAAAAAAAAACTTGGCGTTTTGATATAGTTAAGTATACAAAAGGTATTTTTTCATATTATCATTACATCTCGACGATGAGTGCTTCTACTTTTGACGCGAAACTGATTATAACCACTCAATAACCAACTCTCAGTTTCGTCATTTTCTGTTAACCACGTTTCAGTTGACATTATATCGAGTGGAGACTTATGACTTAGTGTAAGTGCTTCCAATTGTTCGTAGTGAATTTTGTGATCTAATATTCAAATAAAAATTGGTTGTTTTTTGCTCTTTGTTATAAAACTAAGCACCATTGGGTAGCACCAGTTAAGTAACTTAAACTAGGTATTCGATAAAATCCGGAAGAAAACGGTCGCTGTTTGAATTGTTTGCTTCTTCTTGTAGTTGTTCGTTGTCATGTCCACCACTTCATCGCCCAATTGATTTGTTGGTGTTTTAGTATAAAGCTCTTCCACAACTACTGGTAGAAGCGCCGTTAATTTCGAAATACTTTCACTTAATTGATTATAAGGATTCAATTCTTGGACTCGCGATAAATTCAGTTTCGTTTTTTTTTACACTAGGCAATTTAATCGTTAAAGTTGAAATGCCCAATCGTCTCGCTTCCGTTTTTAAGGCTTGAAGCCAAACATTCCTCTATCATAATTGGATGACCGACACGATTAACCATATCCTTGAGCCAACTGTGTCGCCGCCAGATGGTGTCACGATCTGCATGATAAACAAATTTAACTATTATCGGGGCATTCCTTGTGGTCCAAGTGGGTGGCAAGCTGCAACATTTGACGGATTGATGTTTGTTAATAGACGCTGGGATAGAAGGGCTAAATTACTCGTTAGTGGCTCTCTGTCAATTTACGTTATTAAAGATCAAACATAGCTTTCTTGAATACTACTCGAGTTTAGTTTTCTTTCGCTCATCTCAAAGATTCCATTCGTGTTGGCAATGATTCGATTGTCCATCTGAATTTGGCTTTCCGTTAAAGCTTTGATTTACTTTCCGTGTAGCATAATTGTATCGATCATGGATAACATCAGCTTCTTCATTGTTCCAGGATCTTCATCTCCAATTGCATTTCGATTCTCTGCTACTGTTTAATAAGTTAATCACAGCAATTAGGTTGATAATTATTTGTTGTTATGCTCAGCACTGCAGTTCGAAAACCCATCCCAATTTTCGTGATCGGAACGTTTGGTTTTTTGGTATTCAGGCCCAGTAATGGACACGGATCGTTGAAGCAAGACCCGAAGATCGCTCAGTTTTTATGAAAAACTGGACGCTAAAAAATGGACGGTAAGCTGAATCAGCGTGTTTAAATCAGACAACAAATGAAATCGAACATGAATTGCAGCGCAAGCATTGCGAATTGTGCGTGCGTCCATACCTGTGTTCGTATTTGATTTTCCCTACTTTCAGTGTACTTTCACATGCTGTCAGTGTATTTTTTTCAGGATCAGTCATGACACTGCATCACTTGAAGTATTTTTTGCCCAAACAGTTTTGTTTTGGAGCGGTCACAAGAAATTTGTCGAAAACAACATTGGCGATTGAAACCAGTTTTGATAACACTGCAGTTGCAGTCATTTCGAGCGATAATCGGATCTTGGCCGACGAGATTTTTGATCAGGTAAAGTATCACAACATGACAGGTGGGACAGACCCGCGATTTGCCAAAAGTCTACATAAACGACATTTACCAAAAAGTTTAGTTTGATCTGCACAGTAATTGTCTTTGAATTGTTTAACGATGTTAATTTAAAAACATATTTTTAATTTACAGTAACTGAGAAGTGCTTGCTCAAAATTGGTGCTACCAATATTGATTCAGTTGCAGTTACAACAATGCCTGGAAGAGCAATTTGCCTTGAAATTGGGTTGCAATATGCGAAAGACTTGTGTCGTCGCCTCGAAGTTCCGATGATTCCTGTGCATCATATGAGAGCTCATGCAGTAGTTGCAAGAATGTACCACTCTGATATATGCTACCCATTCTTGACGCTTTTGATCTCTGGTGGGCACTGTTTACTGGCTTTGGTTGAAAGTGTTGACCAGTTTTGGTTACTGGGCGAAAGCTTAGACATTGCTCCGGGGCATTTTCTTGACTGTGTTGCCAACGTGATGGGCTTAAATGAAATGGAACAGTTCAAGGTTAGTTGTGCATTTACTTGATACTTGGGGGAGCGGTGGTGAATTGGTTTTTGTCTCGGCCTCTCAATCGAAAGGTCGGATGTTTGAGGCCCACCTTGATCCGTGCTCGTTGCTTAAGGGTGAGGCAACATTACCCAGCCCAGAAAAATAGCCAAAAAACTATAACATAACCAGGGGCACTACAGCGGTTCTTTTTGAACAGCTAAACAGCTCGTATGTTGGTCTTTTCTTTTGTGGGTAAATCGACTTTATCTTTTTGATCGAAGTTTAATTTGGTGTTCTTATTTGTCCGAGGTTTTGAAAGGTCGTTTGTTGCCTGGGTCTCATTTATTGTGGTTCGTCATTTGATTTCGTTTGTTTCAGTCGAAAAGTGGCGGCGCTGTTTTGGACTCTTTGGCTATTTGTGGTGACCCGGATCTGTTCCCAATTAATTACCGTGGAATTAGGATGTGTGGCGGAACCCCTTTAAACTTTTCCTTCAGTGGCGTGTTGGCAGCAACCAAGCGTGCTGTTGTGAAGTTCAAACAAGTTAATAGTGAAGAATATTTCGAAGAGATGTTACCGCACATTGCAGCCGCTGCGATGCGGTGAGCAACATTCGAACGTTTCGTATAATTTATTATTCATCTTATCCAGCTACGCAGTCAGTGATGAACGAATAAAAGAAAGAAATAAAGAAAATTTGTCGACTACTATGGTAGTCGACCAAATCAAGCTTTTCGAGCTCTCTTGAAACTCTGGGCTCTTCGTTTTTTAAAATGAATCTTCGTTTTTAAAGCGGCTCTGTCTGTAAAGCGACACTCCGTCTTTGAGGCGAGTCTGTGCGTAAAAAAGTAACTCTCCGTATCTAAAGCGACCCTTTTTTGTTAGATATCATATTAATTGTTTTCATTTGACCCCGTTTTAGAGTTGTGAGCAAACATTTGTTGCACAAATTGACCCGATGTATGTACTTTCTTCACGACAAGTCCATTGATGACAACCGCACTCTGGTGGTGTCAGGTGGGTGTGCCTCGAGCAGAGTTCTGACAGAAGATTTGAATAAGTTATGCCGGCTGAGAAATTACAAATTGTTCATCCCTCCGCCTAATGTGTGCATAGATAATGCTGTTATGATTGGGTACACAGCTCATGAAATGGTTGAATCAGGATTTGAACCAATCAGATGTGAGGATTTAGAAACTGTTGAAGTCGATGGATTTGCGAAAATTGGAAATGATGCCACTCGGAGTGTAAACATATCAAAGCACATCACAAGTAACTTTCGAAGACTAACAATGTCTGAATTTTCAATTGCGAATGAAATTAATGGCTTCGAGAGAAGTTCAAACTCGTTTGGAAGTTTCGAACGTATTTTGAAACACTAATAAATCATATTAGTTATTTTTACTGGTTAATATTCAGGTCAATGGTCTGAATTGACTGAATTCACATAGGTAGTATGGTACACTCACAGATATTATATAGATATGAGTTGATGCTTTCAGATTTTGATTGAAATGACTCTTGACCCGGCAAGCAACAGGGAAGCTGTGATAGGCAATCCGGCTCCGAATCAACAACAGCAGCATAATATGCAAAACAGACCACCACAAGCTCCACCAAATAAAGAAAGTGCCCAGGATGAAAATATTGAGGCTGCTACCAAGCCAATAGTTGGTATAATCTATCCGCCACCTGAACATCGAAACATCATTGATAAGACTGCTATGTTCGTGGCTAGAAATGGACCTGATTTCGAAGACAAAGTCCGACAGAATGAAGTGGCGAATTCGAAATTCAATTTCTTCAACGCTACCGATCCTTACCATGCTTATTACCAACACAAAATCAAAGAGTTCAGAGAGGGAAGGGCAACGGAAGTCACGCCTGCAAAGCCAACGCCTTCAAGTGCAGTTTTAGCGCAGCAGGAGAAAATTAAGCAACAAGTTGTGGCTGAAATGGCGGTTCCAAAAGAAGCACCACCTGAGTTTGAATTCATTGCGGATCCTCCTACTATTTCGAGTCAGGAGTTGGACGTGGTTAAACTGACTGCTCAATTTGTAGCGAGAAACGGAAGGCATTTTCTGACGCAGTTGATGAACAGAGAGCAAAGGAACCCACAGTTTGATTTTTTGAGGCCGCAACATGGAATGTTTCAGTACTTTACGAAGCTGGTGGAACAGTATACAAAAGTGTTGATCCCGCCGAAAGACTTGATTGAGACTCTGGAGTTTCAGTCTCTCAGTATCCAACCTATGGTTGACGAAGTGAAAAGAAGGAGCGATTGGAAGAAGCACATCGAAAAGCAGAAACAGAAGGTATAGAGTTCACGTTTTAATTGATAGTTTCTTCCACTCGAGACCTTTATTTTTAGTAGGTCCCGGAGTGTACATTTAACTGGGAAGTCATCGCTAGTTTTATTCATTGGTAACATTTTTCGCTTTTTTGTATCATCGCATTCATTAAGCATCATGTCTGGTCATTTTACTAAGAGTCGATGAACATGGTGAAGTATTTTTTTTAGACTCCAAAGAGCCTTAAGGCCAAAGAGCTGGACTTATTTGAAATCCAAAGAGCCTTAAGGCCATATATATTTTCTTTGAAATTCGAAAGTTGACGTTTTTTTGAAAATAAGTCAATTTTTTTTTGTTGCCGCGCGTTCATTGGCTCTTTCCAACGGTCTGTTGGCTATGTTTACTACTTTTAATTGAAGGCCTCGAGAAATCGACGGACCGACGTGCTCGTGATATTTAAATTCATAAATAACAAAATGCCAAAAAACAGAAGTGGGATTATATGAACATTACCGATAAGAGATTTGAGACCTGCTGGGATGAGATACTAGGAGCATGTGTTTGGTTATAGGAAGCGGATGAGCTGGAGAAAGAACGTGTCGCATATGCTCAGATCGACTGGCACGACTTTGTGATAGTGGAGACGGTGGACTTCCAGCCACATGAGACGCTGGGTCTGCCTCCTCCTGTGACCCCAGCCACGGTGGGTGCCAGAGTGATACACCAACAGAGGACAGACGAGAAGAAACGGCTTGGCATCGAGGAAGAAAATGTCCCAGAACCAACTGAGTCGGCTAACGGTAAGTTGCTTGCCCATAAAGAATTGATTTGGAAACGGTTGCATAAGTTAAAAAATGTTCTACCAATGTTACTATCGTATTATAGTGTTTTGAGTAATATTATATAAAAGTATCAACTAACGGATGGTTTGCTGACTTTATCTTATTGTGCATTTCGCCAGAGCTCTTTTTAAGTAAAGAAATGTCAAGCATAATCTGCAGCATGTTTTGTATAGATAAAGTGAGTTATTCATTGACTGTGCTTGTTTCATATCAGCCGGCAAGGGTGGCAAAGACGGAGTGGGCGAGCAGGAGGCAGGGGGTGGGGGAGGTGCAGACATGGATCTGGAGGACATGGAGGAGTCAGATGAGGAGGGGGGCGAGGAGGAGGAGGAACCCGAGGAAGAGGATGAGAGTGAGACAATGAACCAGGTCAGTTTCAGTGAAAACGGTGAAAGGGTTCGGCTTTCGAGGTTTTTTTTGTTATTGGTTCGCAAGTCTCTGGTCAAATTTTATGGGAATAAGTTATCCGCAGTTGTATTCATTTCGTTTATTTGGGTTTGCTGAATAATGAGTGCATTGATGAATTTCAAATTGAACTTAATTTACGATGTTTGAATAAGTTAATGCTTTTAGAACAACCAACCCCAGATCCAGCCTATGCCCGTTGGTGGCGAGGATCTGCTGATCAGGAAAGACTACGACCCCAAAATGAAGCCGTCGACTTCTGCAAACCCGGCCTCGAAAGTGCAAAATTACGTCATAAACGAGATCACAGGAGAGAAAGTTCCAATTGACAAGATGAACCAGCACGTGAAATACAATCTACTGGATCCGCGATGGCTTGAAGAAAAGGAACGGCAACAGAGAGAGAAGCAGCAGCAAGAAGAAGTGTTTGCGATCGGAAATCAAATCGGAAACAGTCTTAAACAGTTGGCCGAGAGGCGTACGGATATCTTTGGAGCGGGAGACGAGGAGACCGTGATTGGTCGACGACTTGGCGAAGAAGAGGAAGAAAAACGAGACGAGAGAGCAATCTGGGACGGGCATTCCGGTAGTGTGGATAGTACAACTAAACGCATCCAGGCAAACATAACTATCCAAGACCAGATCGAAGCCATTCATAAAGCAAAGGGACTGTCGGAGGATAGCACCAAGGAGAAAATTGGACCTCATAAAGGATCAGGAGACAAAATTCCCGCTTCATCATCCTCAACAAGTGCGGGTGAGTTGGACTGTCTTTATTTTGAGCTTGCGTTTTTAAAAATAATTTGTGATTATAGGAATTTTTTGAGAACATTTGCATTAATGTGCAATGAATGTTTTCCAAAACTTGAATGTTGAGTGAACATAAATTTTCAATGATATTTATGAATGTGTTTTAGCACAGCATATGAATCCAGCGATGAGCCATGTGCAGCCGAGGCCCCAACTCACTCCTACGACGCCAATGATAGTGCCGATGGTACCTGTTGTGCAGAGACCACCAATGGTGCCAGTATTCAATACCAACCCAGCTGCTGCAATGCTGGGAGCCCAGACTATGTTGAGACCGTCAATGGCGGGACTGGCGATCCATAACCAGAACCTAGCCGTGGCTGCTCTGGCCGCACAAGCGCAGCAAGGACTGGCGGCAGCTGTAGCTGAGAAAAACGCACAGGTAAGCATAACTTTTCAAATTGCATTTCCTCTTCGAAAAGTTATTGGTCTGATTTTGATACGTCCACATGTGACATTTAAGTATTTGTTGCTGCCAACTGAGTTAAATTCCGTTGTGAATTGGTTTCCTTGTTTGAGTTTGAATCATTTGCCAAGACTCTATCACAGAATACTGGTTGGAGTGACTCTTGAATTACTGATTGAGTAATTAATGCTATTAAACCAAGAGATCTTATGTTGAGATTAAAAACAACTAAAAATTCAGCTAATTTTAATTAAAAGAATTAATTAAACAAAAATCTTCACAAAAACTTTGAAAATTTTTTATCCCTATAAAATTTATCTGGAATTAAAATTGAAACCGTCAACTATTCCCCCTCCTAGTCGAAGTAAATTGTAGTTTTAGTGCACTTCGTTAATAAAAGAATGCATTTTGGACTGTATCTTATTCTGCGATTTCGATTTCTATCTAAATCAACCCGACAGCTGACGTCGAATGTTTCTAAAGGTTTCTGAACATTTCTTTGGAAACCTCTCCAATAGAAAGATCATTAATTGTCTGAATTTGCGTATCTTTCACAATTGTAATAACAGTATTATACTTCCTTTTTACACAAGCAAAGCTCGTGTTTGCTTATGCGGATTGTAGTGTCTTATTGCAGTATCCACTTTTTCCCTATCTAAGTCATAAATGAAATGCTCATAATTGTGTTATTTGGTTTTTTGTTATTTTTGAGTTGCTTTGGAAATTTTAGCTCTTTTTGCATTGTTTTCTCGAACTACTTTGTGTTTGCACATAGAAATGGTAGCAAGAACGACTGCCTACTCACTTGTCTGTCTGCTTTTTCTACTAGTCTTTTTAACTTTAATCAGCGTTCCATATTCTTCGAAAAATTCAGTGGGGGGATTTTTGACCCATTTTTTGGATTTTTTACAGCTGGTTTTACAGCACATCCATTTTTGTCCAAGTTAGACTTCCAACAGTTGTATTTCAACAGCTGGTTTAGCTACTGAAGTGATACTTGTTTTTTTAGTTAAAAAATTTTTATTTATAAATTGATTTTATCGTCGGTTTTTTTTATTTTGACCAAGTTTTAAATGACCCAAATTTTGCTTTTATTTTTCAGCTTTTCTCCGGATGCATGGTTTCTGATTGTTTTTTGTTCTAAAAGTGCCTTCCTTGTGGCGGCATTTTTTTCCGCGAAATTCAGGAGTGTGGTTCTTTCTGGTTTGTAATGTTAACTTTTTTGTTGTGATCCAACTCTTATCGTTACGCATAAACTTCATATTCGATAGGTTTTGAAGTAATTGGGTTCTTTTCATAGGCTTTCCGGGTGTTAGAGTTTTTCTGCTACTTCTGTTTCGTGGCAATTGTTTGCAATTTTTGCAATCATTTTTTCTCTCATTTTCGTCGTATATATAGCAAATAGCGGATAGGGCATGTAGGTTGTTTGGTTGAAGATTAAAGGAACACTCTCTGAGTACTTTTAGTATTTTTCGTATCTCAATTTTTTGACCGAATTTTTTAAATCGTTTTCATCTATTGGCTATCAGAAAGAAATGAATGGAGTTAAGCCCAAATCCTTTTTTTGCTAGTCGTCGAATGTTTCTAAAGGTTTCTGAACATCTAAAGGTTTCTAAAGGTTTTGAAAACCTCTCCAATAGAAAGATCATTAATTGTCTGAATTTGCGTATCTTTCACAATTGTAATAACAGTATCATACTTCCTTTTTACACAAGCAAAGCTTGTGTTTACGCATGCGGATTGTAGAGTCTTATTGCAGTATCCACTTTTTCTTTATTTATTTCATAAATTAAAGGAACACTTTTGAGTACATTTAGTAATTTTCGCATCTCAATTTTTTGACCGAATTTTTTAAATCGCTTTCATCTATTGGCTATCAGAAAGAAATGAATGGAATTAAGCCCAAGTCCTTTTTTTGCTTCAGGCAATGGACTTCTTTAACAACTGCAATAAGTTTTTGTTTTTTTAGCCTGCGATTTCTTCTACTAAACTCCATCAAATTTTTCGATTGAGACACATTATCTTTTTTGGCGCTTTATTGTATATCGCACGTAGTGCAAAACTCAACATCGTCTCTGTGTTTATTTTCTCGAAAACTACCCTACCAAGTCTGAGATGAATCAAAAGGAAATGTTATGGGGATTACATATGCATAAGCTGCTACGCCCTGCTACATCAGCTTTCTTATTCATGTAGAAAAGGATTTACTGCTTAGAAAATGTCCAAATTATGAAATTTTTCAGATTTCTCTGCACAATTATGTTGCCCTATTGTTTTATGTTAAATTGTAAAATGTTATCGATTATAAAATGCGCAATTTTTGAAATTTGCCCGTGTTTGGAAACTTTTTGAATTTTCTCGAAAATTACACCGCCTAATCTAAGATTGAGGGTTCAAGCGAAAGACCATGGGCTAGGAATTGCGGCTACGCCCTAATAGTTGTATAAAAGCAATGTTTTTAAAAGGTTTTCAAACAGGTACCTCCAGCTTTAGCTGGGCCACTAGTATTTAACTATTGTGAAGCGGGAATGGTGCAGATGCTTGGACGGGTGATGCTGAATGTTTCCGCACATCAGAATTTTAGTTTAACCTTTTTCACCATGCTTTTATTTTTGGCCCTTTAAGAGCTACTTTTTGCCGAACCTAAAGTCAGGGTTACCGCTTGGTCAGATTTGGATAATTTTTTGACCCGTGGTCAGAAAAAGTCAGAAATCATTTAATTGACGTTTTACTTGCCAGAAAATTTGTTTTTCCTTGGTTTCAGTGGTCTTACATTGAGAAGTTGATTTAATTGCACAACTTCTGTTTGTTTTTCAGAAAGATGGGATTGTTCTGACAAGAGCAGGTTTTGAATAGTGTCATTTCTTCAATGTTCAAATGAATAATTCATTGGAATTCAACGTTTGACGTTCAAGCGTTTTTTTAATGTTCTAGTTTTGTCTGAAAAATGTCAGCAAAATAGTCAGTTTTCTGATGATTTGTTTGGTCAGATTTTTGATCTGAACAAAGTGGTAACCCTGCCTAAAGGACTTTTTATAGATTTGGATGAATTTAGTATTTTCTATAAATGGCTTCGGGAAAGCTTTTTATAACTCGGTTATTAAATGCGTTGAATTAAGTCCTCTGAATTAAAACCTCATGGGTGACTGATTTTGTGTTATAGTCTTGGTAATATAACACAAATTGTCGATTAGCTCTACAAAATGTAAAATTTTACCTTATGGTAAACCTTGTCTTGAGAACACTGGGAGGTGAAAATGTTAGTTTTACTAAATGTTCCAAATATTTAGGTGTTCAAATTGATCATCAACTTAGATTTAACGAGCATGTAAATATTGTCTGCAAAAAATTAGCAAGATTTAATGGGATCATGTACAAAGGCCGGTGTGTATTTTCAAAAAAAAATGTTATCAAGGTTTTATTTAGCTTATGTGGTACCAACACATAATATCATATGGTCTTCTGGTATGTGGTAGTACTAGCAAAACAAATCTGGAAAAAGTTTATTTATTTCAGAAAAGGATACTGCGAACAATTTTCTTTAAACGAAAATTTGAACATATTACTTCGAAATTTAATGAACTTGGTTTAGAAACAGTTCATGAAATCTATTTAAATCAATTTGTCAAAGAGACAATTTTCCAATACCTAAAACGTTCTCCATTAGACTATCTGAATATTAATAAATTTAGTTATCGAAGAAGTACACGTTCTACCTCAAATGGAATGATTCCCTTTTACCGCTGCAAAACAAAAATGATGGAAAATTCTCTCTTATAAAATTGTGAAATGCTTCAACTTTTTGATTTCAAATTGGCTTCTTCCAGATAACATTGAAACCTACTCTGATGAGAAACTTTCAAACTTTTTAAAAACTCACAAGGAAAAGTACATTACTGATAATGTACAGCTGATCGACAATTTTTTCTAATTAGCATGAACTGATCTTTGTCGTGGCTTAATTGTAATAGTTATCCCGGGGGTAGCTACTTGTTAGGCTGAACAGACTGTGCTAGCTACCCTGATTCAGTGAATGATTTTGCAGATTGTACTTTCTTCACTGTATCGAATAAACGGTTTGATTTGACATAAACTTATGATTTAAAAACGAAAACTTTGATGCGCTGTTTTTAGGCACAAGCTGCAGTTGCAGCTGCGAACTCACTGAATGCGAGCACAGTTAAACACTCCTCAGTTCCAACTTCCTCGGGACAATCTTCGTCGTCGTCCGCAATAATCAACGAAGACCTCAGTGGTCCATCGGCTGCTAAAAGACAGAAGGGAGAAGCAGATCTCATTCCAGAAGACACCTTCCTGCAATCCAGATCCTCCTCCAATGTCACAATCAAAGTCACAGTTCCGACAGACTACTCGAAACCAGAATGGAAGCTCAATGGCCAGACTATCTCTATAACTCTCCCATACAAGGATCCAGTGTCTGTTATTAAAGAGAGGGTGTCAGAGCAACTCACGTTGCCGGCAGGAAAACAGAAGTTGGTCTATGACGGCATGTTTATAAAAGACTCGAACTCGCTGGCATTCTATAATATGAATGAAAACTGTCAAGTGTTGCTTCAACTTAAGGAGCGTGGTGGTCGTAAAAAGTAAACTCTGTTGTTTCCATAAATTTATTTTCGTTGTTTTCGTAATTAACTTTCAGGTTATTGTTCATTTTTTACCGTTGAAAAAAGAGCATTCAGTCCAAATATAAAAATACGTGTTTAAAGACTTCGTGGGGATTTTGTTTTGATTTTTTTTCTAAATTTATCAATTCAAATTAAAACATCCCAGCAGACATTAATCAACTATATTTACAGCAATTTTTGCATAATCAGAAATGTTGTCTGTCTAGGACCCACGCTAGGCTCAAGGACCTTAAGATACTGGCCCTTGTGTTCAGTATCGCCCTTTCAACATTCGTTTGACAGTGTTTTGGAGTTTCCATTCCTACTTCACTACAAAATGTAACACTTCTGTCTAATGAATAACTTGAGCTTAAATATAGGATCTGTCGCTTTAATTTGATCCGCAGCATCTGCGCCTCATCTACGCGGAAAAATAACACTGCTCTTCATTGAATAAAAAGCAGTACGCCTAACTTCTGGAATGAAATACATTTTCTTCGTTTTTACTGTCCCCAGAGATTGGAAACTAATTTAAATTGCATCTTCATTGGAGAAATACTGGACTGACAGTTAACACTACAATCAGACATCCATTTATTGCTACACCTGATGTTCATGTTCAGGGAAAGATTTACCGCAAATGTGTTTCTGATCCCTTGCTGTGCCAAAGGCTCCTTTAGTGTAATTTGTCTAAACATAAATAGATTAATCAAATCTTTCTGAGTGTTGACACGATAGTTGACCGTGATTGATGAGATAATGCAATTTACTGCTTGCGAGTAATTAACTCGCTACTTTCTGGCCCAAGCGGCGCAACTTTCACAGCAAGCGGTACAGACTTTTTGATGCCAATTTAAACCTTGAATTCAAATCGTGCATTTCATAAACCATCTTGATCACTGTCAGGATACATTATTAATAGTTAAAAAAACTGCACCGAGTTTAAGCAGACCGGATATACACGGCTAATCAGAATTTGCCCCCACGTTTAGAAGTTTTTTGGACTATTAACGTTTTGTTTCTTCATGCGCATAATTTGCACTAGATTAAAATTCATCGGCGGGACGATTAGGGAAATTTTTGAGGGAAAGGAATACTCTTCGCTATATCAGATTTCACTCACTTTTTCTGACTGATTCTTAAATCTCAAACAAACATTTAGTCATTTCAAAGTTTCACACCGATGCATTGAAACGAGCTAACAGGACTGAGTGTCGATTTCAATTCATTACCACAGGATCTAAAAATTCAGCGAAATTTAGCCGCAAGTCAGTAAATTAATCGAAAGTAGTCAAAACTTGGAACCAAAACTCCAAAAATTGAGCTGAAAAGACCAATAGGCACCGCATTGAGCACAGGATTAGAATAACTTACTTTGTAACTGATAAGTTCAATTGAGCCCCCCGTTGAAACTTAAGCGATCCATTGTTTTGACTCCACTCCCAAAACTGGATACCATTCAAAACCAAAACGAAGCCAGAGATCTGCAATACCTGATTTGGTGCTTTTGATGTTGAATGAGAAATATGCACTGAAAACTATTATCATTTCCTTCAAATCAGGCTGAAGAATACTATTAAATTAACCGAGTTTACTAACTTGGGATTAGCCTGATCTGATAGACTCCCGATTTGTTTACCCTGTACCATTTTTGTGGTCCAGAATCAACCTGGTTGGTCTCTCTCAGTCTTGAAAAGCTCCGGACTCTTAATTTGTGACCGGGACAGGATTCGCGTCGCCAGTCCAGTCCGCCAAATCTGACAAGTTGCAAGTCACAATTACTTTAATAGTGTAGTCTATTGTCTCGCAAATACCTGTAATCATACAATCATAAAATTGTTTCTTTTAGCCATTGTAAGAGCTAGTCAACCCTGTTATTATCTAAGGCCGATAATCTTCTAATTACAACTCCCCAGTTCTAATTCAACGGCTCCCAAATTTATTTCATGAACTTCATTATTTTCCACTGATTTCCATTGTACTGTCGAATATAGACAGTTTCTCACGATTTTTCATTCACTGACAATTTTCAAATTGAGTTAATTTTGTGGTTAATACTCGTAATACATAAGACATTGCTCGCTAGTCTTATTAATTTCGTCCACCCCTTTTGCAGCATCCTTAACTATTTGTGACCCATCGAATTCGGGTCAAGTTATGGACTCAATTACTACAAAAATGTTGCTCAGCGCCATTTTATTGTCACAACTTATTGCACTGACATTGTCATTAGCCTCGCGTAAGTAATAACCCAAGCAGTTTTAATGCAATGAATTATTTAAAACATCTACAGAAAGTTTTTAACGGCAGATATTTATTTATAACAGATGATCATGGTAAGTCCTGTCATGCGACACCGATTGAATTAAAAATTACTAACGGACGGATACTAGAACTTGTGATCATTTGAATAATAGTTCTGCTAATACAGTTTTGATTAATGTATCTAACTGAGTAACCTTAACTATTTATGATTAATTTACATTCAGGTTGATTATTCAGGATAGTTAAGAGAAAAAACTATAATTCGGTTTTTTCTGAGGCTCTGCAAACATGGGCTCAACAAAAATTTTTCATAACAATTTGTACTGTCTGAGACTTATGATATCTGTCATGTTTTCGGGTACAGTAAGTTTTATTCTATGTATACCTGCCACCAGAAATAGCGATGGCATATTTTATCTTGCCATAGCAAGTGTTTTGTAATCGGGTATTAGATTTTTCTCTTTACACTTGCGATCAGCTTAGTGTGTTACTAAGAACCTTCTTTTTTTCTAACCTAGATCGCAATTAAAAGCGTTGATTAAAAGTGTTCACTTATTTGGAACTTTCAATGTATCATTGGAAATTGCATAGCATCTGTTCCCTGCTTTATTTGGGACTGAGTGGTTAATGGTACCTATTAAGCTGCCATCATTTAATTTTAAATTGATATGGGTTTTGGTTGCTGTCAGCGTGGATGGGTTGGCAAAGCGAGGCACTTTTAGGAGTCGATGAACATAGTTCAGACTCTAAAATAGGTCGAGATGATTTTTTGCTTCTTTTTTTTCCAGGAAAAGTCTTTATATTTGTTCAGGCCCCAATTTTATTTTTTGGTTGTTTGACTTTTGATTTCTTTTAACGTGCAGTTGGCTTCCTTTGTTAAAAGGAAGACAAACTCCGCAATTGAACAGCGAAAATATCAAGACAAGAAAAACTTGATCAACTTCAGGTTCCGAAAATGGAATTTAATTTTCAGATTTCCCAACGAATAAAAATTTCACGTATAGATCCAGTTTTCTGAAGTTGTGTTAATTTTATCAAAAAAGTTTCAGTCATGAATTGTTCAGGAAATGCAAAGAGTTTTAAGTAAGGGCATGTATTTTTTTTAATTTGAAAGCTGAGTTTTTTTTTCAGAAAACAAGACAGTAGTTTTTTGTTTACTTGAGTTCATTAACTTTTTTCCAACCGCCTGTTGGCTATCTTTCATTGTAATAAAGCGTTCGTTTTGATATTATCAGATCTTGTATTTAATCCCCTGCCATGGCAATAATTGTTTAAGAGGAAGAGCTCTCACTTGACCCTCTAGCTTCATATCTACCACAGCTTGATCAATATGTATCTGAAATTTCTCGACTACAAAAAAAAGCTATCTCAATTTGTAAAAAAAGATCTTACGAACAAAATATTGGAATATGTGGAGGTACTGATTTTCCTTAGATTGGCTTAAAGACTTTCTTAAATTCCTCTGCATTTTACAGAAACCGAAATTTTCACCTTTGCGATAAGCATGTATTAAAATCTTGGTTTCTGCAAATCGCAGACCAATTTACACTCTTGTACTAGACTTTTGTTTTACCTGCACACAACTTATCACTAAATGACTGAAATTTGGTAATTTTGTAATCCTGTATGTAGCCGAGTTCTTACTAATGTGAGGCTTATTTCTTTTTTTTGCATTTTATAGAGCTGCTTTTTGTCGTGTTCTTGCTAGTTTTTGCGAAGTTCAGCTTTGGCTTTTGTTGATATTTTTGTTTCAATGCCAAATTAACGCCAAAGAACGTCATTCGAGACAAACGTATGAAAAACTGGGTTAGATATAATTTTTTTTGAATCTTGGCACAATTTTTTTGACTGAGTGATTTCGTGTTCGTTTTTATTGGCAAGTTTCACATGCTATTTTGTAATGAAGCGCATGCCACGTGAATCTTTGCTTCGACTCTGTGCAAAAGTTTATAAATAAAAAAAATTGTGTAAATTTTTGAAATACTTTATTTACTGTTGCAATCAGGTACTAATTTTTTCCCCTAAACAACATTAATCACAGGAACTTCATTTTAGAAGATCTCCCGTTTCCCCCATTTTAAAGTCGCATTTTCAACTTCAAGTTTTCTTGGTATAGATTTAGTGTGTCTAGAGATAATGGATCCACAGCTGAAAAATGTTCAGATGCGCATTGATTTTGTAGTCTTAATTGATTTTGCCCGTATTTTTGTCGTGCTATTTTCCGGTTTTTTTGTTTCAAAAACATTCTATTCAATTCAATTGTTGTATTCAATTATATTTTAAAAATAATTTAACTATAATCTAGAAATAAATTTTTTCATACACGGTAAAGCTTCCATGTTGAAAAAAAACGAGCTAATTTTTTTTCAAAACATGTTTATTTGATTCTTTTTTATAAATCTGAAAGTGGGTGCAGCTAGCTTGAAGCTACGTATAGTCAAAAATACTTATGAGCGATTTCCTTTTTGTATCCATTCAGGGTGATGGCACAGCGTATTGTTTTGATGTTCGGAAACTTCCAAAAGATTTTGATTTGCAGTTTTGTCTCGACTGTTTTGTCAACAGTAAAGCCGGCCAGTGTTGCACGAGGTTCAAAATTGAGATTTTTGGCAGCAAAAATTTTCAAAATATGTTCTTTTTGTGCATTAAGTTTATTAACTGGCGTCTTTTTTAAATATTTTTTGTTGTCGTGGTTCAGCTCTGCTACCATTCCGTTTAAATTCATATTTGACAAGATTGACGTAACTGTATTGGCTAACTTTCAGAGTTCAATAGTTTTTTGGACTTTTTGCAGTAATTAAAGCAAGCAATCAAAGTGCTTTCTGTGACCCTCAAACTTTTTGTTGAAATGCAGTTTGTTCGGCGGCAAGGTTTTCAGTGAAGTTTAATGGAAGTTATAGAGTTATTGGATTGTAAGTTTTGTACAATCTTCACTTTTCTCTTCTCTTTTCCATGTAAAACTTATCAAAAAGAATTGAAGAATTGAATGAAGTTTGTGTCGTCTGAGTCCTATCATATTTTAGGTGTTTGATTTCTATTACAAAAAACTGTTTTTCGAATTTTGGCATTTCTGTATCGCAAGTAGTGCGAAGCTCTGCTTCGCTTCTGTCTCAGGTTTTTTTTTGCAATATACACTTTTTGCATTAGAAACAATGTACCCAACTTTACAAAAACATGACTAAATGAATGAAATTTGTGTCGTCTGAGTCCTGTCATATTTTAGTTGTTTGATTTCTACTACAAAAAACTCTTTTTCGAGTTTTGGCATTTCTGTATCGCAAGTAGTGCGAAGATCTGCTTCGCTTCTGTGTCAGGTTTTTTTTGCAATAGATATTTTTTTCATTAGAAACATTGTACACAACTTTACAAAAACAAAAAAAAAACAGATTCTGTGCTGGTGCTTCAAAAAATTATTTTTGATTTTAATGATTTAATAACAGAAATTCGAAAAAAATTGGAAGACGCCGAAAAGTGTGAAAAAACAATATTAAAACGTTTCAAGTTTTTTTTTCAAATTTTCTTTTTTGGACAGCTTTTTCTCGTCATGGACAATTTTTTCATGGAATCCGAATCATGACTAAAATATTGAAAAGTAGCATCACTTGACCCCATGAGTTTTTAACGTAGCCTCATACAAGGGAGAATGTAGATTGTTTTTGAGAAGGGACGGATTTTCCAAAAATTTTCGATAATTTTGTCGGTTTTTTTGTCGAGCGCTCTTAGCTATAAGAATGCCGTTTTTGGGCACTTTTTTGAAAATTTTGAACAAAAAATTGCGTTTTTTGGCGCGCGCTTTCCCTAAAGGCGCCTTTAGAAAACTTCAGGGTTGGTCAGCCGAAAATGCTTGTCATAAAAAAATACCAAAGGGGGATCCGTTTGGTTGATGATGGGTCGACTCCCTGAGGAAGGTTGAGAAAAAGAGCGTCCCCCCCCTAAATTCGCCCCTGTAGCCATCGTTACGTAAGATAACTCATCCTAAATCATAAATTCTTCCAGTCACGTGGTGACCTTTTCAGAACAAAATGTTGTTAAGTTTTTAGATTTCATGAATTAGTTTATAATAGTCGTTTTTCATGCAAATCTAAACAATTTCAGCCATTTGACTTTACGCATGAATTTGGTTTAATTATTTTTTCAATTAATAATTAATTGATAACTAGTGGGAAGGAACTTTGCCGTAGGGTGAGGTGTTTCGGCGAGCTCTTAGTTACCTGAACTGGGGTCGGGTCGACCATTAAGATCAATGGTTTGTGGGTCGACCATTAAGATCTTAGAGCACTCCGAAAGCATCTCGGAAAGTTTTCTCAATGTCTGCAAAAACTCGTGTCTGTTTTTAGTAACCGGACTCAATTTTGAATTTACCAGTGGGATGAAAGAGTTGAGAAAAACAAAATTTAGGAAACAAATGGAAAAAGTTTAGTACTCACTTTTACTCATTCAATTATCCATGCGAGGTGCAGTGCAGACGATTATGATGATTTATTATGATTCATTATAATCCATGACAATTATTATGATCCAGTCTGCTGTTATGGTTTCTGCTAGCGATTTGATTGTCTTTTCTCGATAAGGAAATAATATTCAATTTCTTTTTGTAATGTTGCTTTGAATATTGGATTGATTTTTGGTAACAGCTCTCCCAAATTATGCTAATGGTGACAGATTTTGACACTCCTTGTAATCTAACCAAAAAAGGAAGCCTTAATCTTTTTTTGTTTCATTTTTTAAATGGCAAATTGTGGATAAGACTGTAAGCGAAATCCACGAAAAGAGTTTCAATGAATAGAATTTCCCAGTAAATATTCGAATAACAAGTTTTAGTAGCAGGATATAAACGTAAATAGGAAAACAAGACTACTGGCTGCCTTATGACGAAATAAGTCAGATAGTGCAAACAGTGGCGGATTTAAGGGGGCGGGGGGGACGCTTCCCTCCCTGAGGGGTTCGACCCCCTGCCGACCCAAAGGGGTCACCCCCATGTACCAATTTGAAATATTTATTTTTGGCGACGGACCCTAAAAATTTGTTTAAAGGTGCCTTCGGTGCCAATAAATATTAATTTCGAATGGGGAGCGCGCGCCGAAAAAACGCGATTTTTTGGTCAAAATGTTCCAAAAAGTCCCTAAAAACGTTTTTTGCCCTGTTTATTGAACTGGGGTCTTTATAGTGATTTCGGAGAGCTCAGCAAATTTGGTCTTCCTAAAAAAAAGTCCACAAAATTTTCGAGGTTTTGTCAACCTTTTCTCGAGAAAACCCTAGATCCGCCCCTGGTGGACTTGTTAACTTTTTTTGAGCAATCCATTCAGATCTGGCAATTCAAATACTTTCGGCTCAAAGTAGAAAACAACCGTAAAACAAAGTAGAAAATTCAAAAATTCACAAGAAGCAAAAAATTGTTTGAAAATAGACCTGGAATGACGCAAGTTTATCAGAGATTTAAAGGTCAAGAAAAGACTTTCCTCTAATGTTACCTCCTTTTTCCTTTGACAGATCCTTTTTTAGAGTCATATTTTCATCATGAAAATGATTTATGTCGGGATATATGACCATTTTCGAGAACTTTGATGATGGTTTTAAAAGCAAAACAAATACAAAATCATATTGCTTTTTAAAAAGCGCCCAATTTTTGAACAATTAATTGCCATAATTCATGCAAAACTTAGTTTTACGTTTAAAAAAAGATTTTTAGTTTTTTGCTTCCAACCTATATGCAATCATTCATTACGCTTGCAATTGGCAAGCGTTATCCAATTGAAGCATAGACGTTTCTTAAGTTTAATAGCGATTTGAGTAAAGTCACTGATCGATTCAAGAACAGACATATTTGGTCAACATAAATGTTTTTGTTGGTAGTAAAGCAATTCTGACGGTTTTTTTGTTCCGATTTTTGATACGAAAGTAACGGAATATTTGTGCTCGGGGTGGGTTTTTTTTCTTCAGACAAATTTCGACTTTTTAACTAGCCATTTTGACGGAATCTTTTTTATATCATTCGAAAGCTATTGTTGTCTTGAGCTTAAATTTGAAAAAATATTTCACTTGTGATCATTTTTTGTGAAGTTACGAGGGTTTAAAGATTGCCATTTTGGCCGTTTTGACCAATTTGGGACAATTAACGCGCGATATATTTCGCGCTATTAACGCATTAGCGGAGATTTAATCCGTCTTAGAAATTGTTCCAAATTGGTTGAAAGAAGCTTATTTGCCATAATTGGTTTGTTTCAATGAACGAAATCTATCCTTTTGTACTTTATATGGCGTGTGGGGGGATGATTTTCATAAAAATTTCAAATTTTTATAAAAAAAAAAATTTCATTTTTTTTTTATTTTTTTTTATAGGTTATTACTGCTCCTTAAACATTAAAAGGCAGTCGGAACATTCAGGGCTTCGCCCTAATACGAGCAGTTTTGTTGTTCCGACTTTCGATACGAAAGTAACGGAATATTTGTGCTCGGGGTGGGTTTTTTTTTTCTTCAGACAAATTTCGACTTTTTAACTAGCCATTTTTGACGGAATTTTTTTATATCATTCAAAAGTTATTGTTGTCTTGAGCTTAAATTTGAAAAGATATTTCACCTGTGATCATTTTTCGTAAAGTTATGAGGGTTTAAAGATTGCCATTTTGACCAATTTGGGACAATTAACGCGCGATATAGTTCGCGCTATTAACGCGTAAGCGGAGAGTTAATCCGTCTTAGAAATCGTTCCAAATTGGTTGAACGAAGCTTATTTGCCATATATAATTTGTTACAAGGAACAAAATCTCTTTTTTTTGTACTTTATATGGCGTGTGGGGGGATGATTTTCATAAAAAATTTCAATTTTTAGAAGAAAAAAAATTTTCATTTTATTTTATTTCATTTATTTTTTTTATGTTATTACTGCTGCTCCATAAACCTTAAAAGGCAGTCGGAACATTCAGGGCTTCGCCCTGATATGAGCAGTCTTGTTTGATTTTATAATCAGCCTGAAAATTTTCGGATAATCTTTTATTGAATTAGTTGCTTCATATTGCGTCCTCTGAATGGCGATGGCAAGTTTTAATTTTTGCGTGTGCTGGAGGTACGCCAAAACCAGTTTTAAAATTTTGTGGTTGAAAAATTTTCTTTCCAAGTTTTTTCCGGTTCAAAAGGCCTCTGCCGAAATTACCTATTATTCAACTTTATTTTAATGTTAGTTTATTGATGACAAAGTTTCTATTTTTCTTATGCTTTTATTCGAACTTGATTTACTTAAAACATACCAATGCAAATTTGGTAGAATTAGTTCAATTTTTTTTCGAACAATTTCTCGACTAACAACTTTGCCCTTGTTTTCACGCCGGCAATGTGTATGCTATTTTGTGATGTATATCATGTGGTTTGAAGATGCACTGCGTCTCTGTGTTGATTGACAGAAATTGAAGATATGATGCATTTAGTGTAACCACAGAGTTTTCCTTACGTTGAATTTAAGGCGCCATGAATTTCAGTAGTAACTTCTGACCGAAACTATTTATTCGATCTGTGAAATTGGTTTGTGAAAAAAAAACCTTGCATATCAATTTTTAATACAGAACAAAACGTTTCTATAAACAGAATTAACTTTATTAAAACAAACTACGTTGCAATTTTTTGTATTAGAGCGTTCTTATTGAAATAGAAAAGGTTCGAAGCATGGTCGGATCTGGTATTTTCTCGAAGGGGGAATTTTCAACAACATTTCGAAAAATTTGTCGATTTTTTTTTTGTTTTAGATCGACCGAATTGGTTTTCTGAGCTCTCCCAAAGCACTAAAATGACCCTGTTTTGGCTAAAATTTTCGACCCGCAGGCAAAATTTTGAAAAAATAAAAAAAGAGTGTTTTTAGGCACTTTTTGGAAAATTTTGACAAAAAATTCGCCTTTTTTGGCAAATTTTTAGGGTCCGTCACCAAATATGGCTACCTCAAAAAAGTACAAAAGGAGGACCTTTTGAGTCGGCAGGGGGTCGAATCCCTGAAAGCAGGGGGTCGAATCCCCGGCAGGGGGTCGACAAGGGGTCGACTCTAATTGACAGCTTAGTATATTGGCCCATTTTTTGGTTGACCGAAGTAAAAAGGGTGCTAGCGGTTTTAGCAGAACGATTTTTAGCAGACCAATCTTTTGGCAAACGCAGAACAATTAGCAAGTCAGAACGCTAGCTTCAAAAGCAGCATTGGCGGTTAGCGACAGCTTGCTTCGCTGCGCTTCCATTCGGCACGAGTGTTATAGTGCGCGTAAAGGATTATTTTGCTGCTAATTTAGATTGTGGTGTTTTTGCTTACATAGTACAAAGTAGACACTTACTATATTAACCAATCAAAATCGAGAACAAGAAGCAAACTTAGGAAATAAATAAATGTTAGTTAATTATTTCCTGAGTTTTCTTTCTGTTCTTAATTCTGATTGGTTAAAATAGTATTTGTCTACTTTTTGACCGGTATGAAATAAAGCTTGTCTACTTTTTGACCGCACTCCTGAGTGTTTGAAATTGAGTTTTTTGTTGACAAATTGTGAGATAATTGTTTTAATTGGGGAAGTTTGACCCAAGATTGATTGTCTTTTTGCACCTCTCAATCAATCATGCATCAGTTCACTACGTTGGTCTGCTAAAAAAAACTCACTTTTCACTTTTTATGCTCAAAGAATGGTCTGCAAAACTATCGGTTCTAGTGAAAACGAATCACCACACGGTTTTCAGCAGATTCAACTTTCCGCAGATTCGACCCCCTGGCTACCCAAAGTGTCCCCATTCGGTACTAATTTAAGACCTCCATTTTCGGCTGACTGACCCTAAAATATACTAACTTTGAAGAACACGCGGAAAAACCGAAATTTTTGGTTAAAACTTAATTTTTCGGAATTTTTTTTGTCAAAACAGGGTCTTTTTAGTGCTTTGGGGGAGCTTGGAAAACAAATTTGGTCGAGGAAAAAAAGTTTGACTACTAAATTGTTGAAATTTTTTTGAAGTTCGAAATGATTAGTTTTTCCGCCCCGTCAATCATTGTTCTGATTGACAAACACTGATCTGCTTGAATCGTAATTTTGTGCATTATAAATGGTAGCTCAATAATAATACAGCACTCTCACAATGCCATTTTGTTTTGAATGACAATACAAAAGTTTTATTTTCCCGTTAACCCAGGCGAGTCACAAATAAATTTTTTCAAACAAAGCCAGTTTGGCAGCGTAATTTATTTGAGTGGGATCTAGCTACATATTAAGGACACGATTATCATACTTGTACCTGAAAACCAAGAGTCTGATTGCAGTAGTAGTTTACATCTCGGATGTCAATTTTGAACTATGTTTTATTTCCGCTAAAAACGTTTGTTAAAAATGATGCTTAGAGCGATGTGAGAACTGCGATATTATCAAAAATTTTGTTTAGGTCCACCAGAGCTTTGAGTGTTTTTTTTTCAAGGCGAAAATACTGTTTGGGGATCATCGTCATAACTCGCGTCGGAAAATATTTTTTTGCGTATCTTATGTTCGACAAGTATAAACATTAACACAATTGCCATGTACATTTTCTAATATGAGAATTCAAATTCATCTTATACTAAAAAAGTTGAAGACGCTTCGTTGCGTGCGAATTTTTCTTGGTAATTTTGAGCGAATGAGAAATGACTAATCATCTAACGCTTTCGTTTAACCAAAATCATGAATTTGATCATGCTAAATTCACTTGCATTCGCCAACATTTTCACTCTTTGTTCAAATCATCCTCCAAACAACTCTTCTTCTTCAGTCGAAGACGACTGTACTGACGACTGGGTGTGGGGAGACTGTGTTCCATGGAACCTTGACAAAGCAACTGGCTGCGGCACTGAAGGACGTCAGGAGGCCAAACGGGAGGGGACGGGGTGTCAGATCATCGCGTTCCAAATCAAGTGTATCCCCGAGTGCAATAAGAAAGGCAAATCTGGGGATAAGAATGACAATGCTGGCAAGCAAACGCCGGATCAAGACAGAGACGAGGTCGACAGTTTTGAAGACAATGGAATTGGTCTTTGGGGTGTTGACAACGAACCTGATGAAGAATCGAATGGGAAAAAAGGTTCAATTTTATCTCCTCAAATTTTAATTTTTGGTTCGCGTGCGAAATAATTCGTATCTTGTGAGGGACGTAACAATAAGTTGCAAAATAAGAGGATTTTTTAACACTATTTCAAAAAAACTTGGTAATTGAATATAAGGGTTGTTTTTCGAAGACTCATCGACCTCTTTGCGTATTTGCTTGCAAAAATGAGAATTTTTTTCGGAAAAAATTTCTTGGATTTTTTATAAGAAAAGTTATTAGGCTTGTTGGACAAACTTTTTTCTCGCTAAAAACTAATTTGAAGCATTGTTTTATAATTATTTTCCTCAAAAACTTTCGAAAATCTTGCTGAACATTGTAAAATAGGGGAAGTTTCCTACCGTTTTTTTAAGATGAGCAATCCGGATTGATTTTTTTCACAATGAACACTTTTGATCGCCTTTTGGAGCACTCATTTTTTCTCATATGTTTCTTATCTGTTATCTTTTGACAGATTTCATTGCGATAAGCGATTTAAGTGGTTAGATCACATGAAAAATAGCACAAAATTTATCTAAACAAACCCTGAACAGCACCTGCTGAATAATCATTTTAGTATTTGAGGAGAGGTTTAGATGCCGAGTCTGCAGAAGTACTTGGCTTTTTTTCAGGAAGGTTTCAAATATATTCATATAAGGACAAAATCTGAGCCATAAATTGACATGCTAACTGTTCAACTCTCCGCGGCAACTGTTCTGTTTTGTCGGCTGATTAAGATCTACATGCATTTTGGTTATTTCTCGGGGATGAGACATTTTACTTGGAACTTCTCAAGCAACGAACACGAATGTGAGTCCAATACAATGAATACGATCTGTTTCAAACTCTCGTACGACTAACATTATTTAATTTGCAGGTGGATGTCAGTACAAAGTAAAGACGGAGTGGAGCAAATGTGACAGGAACGGACACCAGTTCAGAAGCAAAGAGCTCCTCACTGGATCCCCCAAGTTCTGCTCCAAAGTGGTGGACGAGGTGCAGCAGTGTGCGGGGGCTGGGACTGGATGGCAAGCGGAGCCAGAGGGAATATCGGATGCCGGGAGTCCAGGAGGATGGCTTCCTATCCCTCCGAGTGGCGGCGAGACTCCCAGTATGCCAAGTGGTGAGTTAGCTAATTTCACGTTGACTAATTGCCATTTGCTTTTTTATAATCAATAATCATTAATGGGTAAAGCATTTTAAGATGCTTAGTTGTCTAATAAACAGCAGAAAGAATCTATTGGACTTTTGATAATTTAGTCTCAACGTGATTTCTTTACATAAAGGATACGAATTTTTGTGCTTTGGCTAAGTAACTTTGTGCTGCGGCGAACTATATCATATTGACGAAAGTGCTTGTCATTAACAAAGGTCATAATTTATTGTCACTGCGTATAAATACTTCTCCTTTCCTTCTGAACATTACGTTCTTATCTTATTCTCTCCTCTTTCTACGGAAAGTTTTTTCCTCAAGTTTGTTTCAGTTTTCATTCCGACCCTGAATCTCGTCAGAAGGCCCCCTTTTAAGTGGTAAATCAAATAAAAGTCATTTCATTTGTAAAAAGGTGGATTTTAACAAGAAACCGTTTTAATACTTCGACTTTTGGACAAATTAATGGTCAAAAACCGTTCGTCACATTGATTCAATTTAAGCTCAGATTGAGATAAATATGAATAAATTAGTTTCTTTTTCAACAAAAAAAATTGAATAATTTTGGTGATGACATTCAAAATTGAAGTTGGAAGCTTTTGAGTTCGAAGTCAAAATTTGCATTCCTCGTCACAAATACATACATTGTAACACTCTTGTAACCTCGTCAATGTATTCTCTACGCAGACGATACAGCAATATTAAAAGATGGTTACAGGGAAACAAGGATAGCCGGTTACTGTGCAAGTAGCACAGAGTGTTCCAACCATAGATAGTCTTTAGAAAACTACGGTTTAGACATATTTTTTTCCAAACTAGTGTAGTTTTTTTCAGCTTGGTGTGATATTGGTAACAGGATCTGACGTAAAAATACAATTAAAGCATATTAAACGGTCAGTAATATAGGCAAAATGGACAAAATTTTTGTAAAAAATGACTAGAAAAATTATTTAAAAAATTATTGGTTCCCAAAATGAAATTAAAAAAGTCCAAAAACAATACTTGCTTAAAATATAGTTTGAAGGTCTTAATTTAGGCATAAATCAGCTGTAAGCCTGCTCGCTTGCTTTATTCGTTCGAATTAAGACGAAAAGTGGAAAAACTCAAACCTATTTTTCTCGACACTGGGTAAAAAATTTTGAAATTTTTTTATGTTTTTCGAATCATGACTGAAAGACCTTTACTATGATATATCACACGACCCAGTCCGATGATTATTTGTGGTGCCTGTTTTTACGAGGAAAACAAAAAGCAAAAAAAAAGAATCTAAAACACACCCGAACACAAAGTTTCTCCCCATTTTTCAAAAGATCGGAATAATAATAGAAACTATTTTCAGAACTGCAGCAGAAAAACCTTTGATTGGCTGGTTAAAAAATATTAGCAAGAGTAATGAACGTATCCGGGTTGACCTTTATACAACGAAAATTCTTAATACACAATCCCATACACCAAAAAATGTTTATCATACAATTCCATGCATCAAGTGTGTGGAAAAAATGCTTATCATACAGTTTCCAAAAATTTTAATTGTATGATGAGCAGTTTTTTCATCAATATTTTTCATCAAAGGAGTTTTCAAAAATCTAAGAATGAACTTAAAGGTGTAAAAATAAAACAAACAGTGTTGATGAACTTCGAAAAATTGATAGCAACAAATTTTGAACATTTTTTGGAAAAATTTTTTGACATATTATTCTTTCATATGAAAATTACATGATAGGCAAAAAAACCGAAAAATTTTTTTTGTTTTTTGTAAACGAAAAATGGATTTAGTACTCAAACATTTTCCAATTTTTTTTTGGCTTGCAAAAATTTAACTTTTTTGTGTGCAGAACGTAGTCATGGATACATGAATGTCAGATTTTTTCGTTTTTGCTGGATAATTTAAAAAAACTCAAAACGCCTATTTTTTTTATGGCAAGTTTATTTATGCCGTGATCAATGCCCAATTAATTTAAGTTTGAAAAATAAAACTAATTAATCGTTGAAAAAGCTTGCCAAATTTAAAAAATTCTTTTGTTATTTCATTTATGTAAAACATTCTTTACGACGATTCAAGTCGTTCCCTATGCATTGTAATTGACAGAAGGTCCATCCTTTGGGTTTACTAGATTTGATTTCTGTGTCTTTGTCACTTTGTCACAAAAATTTTTGAAAAATTAGACTTTATAATCTGAAATTTTTTTGGTTTATGGAAAAATACTGTCATACAATTTTCATATATGGAAAAATACTTGTCAAAGAAATTTTTTTACAGTTTTCTGACTGTATGGAATATTATGGAATGCTTTGACTAGAAATTTTTCATTTTTGAAAATTGTATGATAAGAATTTTTGGTAGACCCGGTTAGTGAGTAGTTTAGTATAGATTTTAGTGTTTTCTGCGTATATTTTTCTGGGAAAACTCTAAAATTTGTTCACGCTCAATTTTGATTTTTCGCGGTTTGAATTTGGATTTTTTAGTAAATTTTTTTCAATCGAGCAGCGAAAGTGTAAAAGGCACAAAAAACGTGATTGATTGCTAATTTCGAAAATGGAATTTAATTATCCGAAAGAAATAAAAAATTTGGAGTATTTAATCAAGTTAAATTTTAACTCTATTTAATCAAAAACTTGCTTCTACATAACAGTTTAAAGCTTACAGCCAAACCAAGTGCTGGGAGAAAAACAAAAAGTTCAAAAAAGAACGTTTCGTTAACATTGAGGATTTAGATAGACTCGTTAATAGTGGGAAAAAGCGAAGCGGGAGAGACCAATATTTTTTCAAAAAATTAGACCTGGTTTTTGATATTTGTTCACAAAAATTTAAAACCAGGTTACATTTTTCGACAAAATTTGGTCTCTCCTGCTTAGCAATTCCATGAACAACATTGTTTAAACAAAGTATTAGGATTTTTAAAATATGTATATCACCTTAAAATTGTATGAAAAATTGGACTCTTTAACGAATTGTAATCAACTGTTTTGGGACGCGAGAAATGGTGTTTTATCTTAAAAAAAATCTATAAAGCTCCAAAATAACTAATTCTGATAAGAAAAAAATCGTGCTTTATATCTGTTCTGCTTTCTAAGGCTACATTTAGCTGAAGATCGTTAGAATGACTTCTCGAAAAAATATCAATCGTATGATCTTTTTGGTTTGCTTAACTATAAACATTTGGTTTGTTCAAAACTTATCATTATGATTTTTGAAATTCGTTTAAAAAGTTTGTAGGAAAAAAATTGTAATTTAGGCTGTTTTGGTTCTGATCATTGGTTTTAACTCAGGCGAAAGGAACTGTCGAAAATGTTTTTGATGCTACTTGCACAGCAACCGCTTATTTTATCTGATTTAACTATTTGAAAATCGAGACAATGCATCTCTTTGATGTTTGTCTCAAGGGTTCGTATATTCGAGAAGCTTGTTTTGACCCAAGTGCCGCTGTTTTGTCCAACTTGATGATATACCGCTAACAGTGCAAATTTGAAGCCGTCCAGTTTTTCAAATAACGTCTGTCTTAATGTGTAAACCTTTTTCGGGTAAATATTTTTGGTTTGGTCTCTGCAACAAAAAAGATAACGGTTAAATTGGTCTGCTTTGTGAAAAAATGGTCTGCTTTCTGTCATTTTCATTCGTTTGTTTGAGTTTGGTTGATTATGTTTGCATTGTCTTGATGGCTCTTGGCAATAACGGAGCGTTTTGAGAGACACATCTCTTGACAGTTCTATCAGGAAAAACAAAACAGATATCGAACTACAAGTTTTTTGTATCGGCTTGTATGTTGTTGTTTCAGTTCGTTTTTTCCGAAAATTACTTTGTTCATTTGTCACATGATGTTTTCCAAAAAAAAGCTTTACTCATTTGCCTAATGATGCTTTGTTTTGAAGGTTTAGTTTTCCTGGCCATTTGAAGAGATAAAACTCATGTGGTAGCATGCAATATGTTATGTTTCAATTTAATTTTCAATTCCTCGAATTCTTTTTTTTTATTGATATTGAAAAAAGAGTAATATTTTTAATAGCAGTTTAATTGTCGTGAACTAAAGGATCAGTACATTACAAATATTTTAAATATCAATTTAAGATCTTTATTTTTTTTCTCAAAATCTTCCGAAGGCTTTCAAGAAGCTTGTTCTCTCATCTTTGTAAATATGTTGGAAAAATATCACGAGACTTTTATCATTTTTTTTTTCGAAAACCAGCTCATCCTATCCAAGTGGCTGGATTGAAATAATGCAATATCATCTGCCGATGTTAAAATAACATACAATCGTATTTGCTCAGATAGTTTTAATTAGCAAAAACAAATATTTCAAAACGATGTAATGTCGTAATTTATGAGAGCTGACCATGACTTGTGGCTTCTTTGAAAATCTTTTTTCAGTGCAAAAAAAACGAAGTGATTTTCATTTATATAGGTCTTTTCAAACGTTCAAATTTTTCACGCTCAAATTTAATTTTAAGCTTAATTCATTTCCTTTGTTAAAACGAAGGCAAACTCCATTCGGTTTGGAGTTTGCCTCCGGCTTATCCCTTTTAAAAATTGGTCTCATTCAGCCCCAAACTGAAAATTGGGGACCAAAAATTAAATTAATTTTTTTTTTGAAATTTACATACATACATACATACATACATACTTACATACATACATACATACATACATACATACATACATATTTACATGCACACAAACATACATAAACACAAACATGAAAAAATGTTTAGAAAAGTCTTTAAAACTCCCCAAGTCGATCAATGAAGGTATTTTTGCAAGATGTTGCAAAATTCTTGCAAATGAGGATTATCTTGGAAGATCTTGCAAGACGGAGGTTATACTACAAGACCATACTAGAAAAAAATTATCTTGCAAGATAATCTACTTTCAAAATGTTTGGAAAATCTTATTTTGAGCGCCAGAAAGTTGCCATGGAGATCAAAATTGACTACGGTCGCAAAGAATTCTGAGTTTAATATCGGACTAAACAATTAAGTTGGCCATATTTTTTAAATGTTAATTTATATGCGCGTTTTTCCGATTTCATAATGTAAAATATTTTAGTTTCTGCCCATGTTTTTATGCATTTTGAATTGAAATTTTTGAAAACATATTTTTAAATTTTTTTTGGAATAAATCATCCAGTTTTGCTGAAATCTATAACTTTCTTTATTTTTGTCGACAGTTTGATGAAAAGAGTCAATTAGCTCGAAATATTTTGTATGTTGTGTTCACATAAATACGATAAACAAGTATACTCACATATAATGCGGTTATAGTTTTCTTTTTTTTTTCTCGTTTGTTGATTTGTTCAAATTTTACCACTGCACTTCCTACACAGACGCAATAGGTTGTCTCCGCGTGTGAGGCTTTTTTTAATATCTATTAAATTCATATCGTTAAAGATCTTGCTTAAAAAAAGATTATCTTTGAAAGAAACTATCTTGTTATATTTTGCATCACGAAGATTTTGCAAAGAGATGCGTCCTCTTTACAAGAATCATGCAAGATTCGTAGAAGATCTTGCAAGATAACCTCCCCTGATCGACTAGGGTCCTGGATTAAACTCAGTTGAAACGCTTCTCGTTGGTCGTACACACTCGAAATGACTTTTTCTGGTCAAAACGCTTCCCTGTTGAGAAAAATCTTGCGTCGAACACAGTCGAAATTTTTTTTTTCTCGGTCGAATTCTAAAGAAATGTGTTTATTCGGTCAATTTTTGCCAAAATAGTTTTGCTCGGTCAAACATAGTCAAAACATAGACAACTTGGGTCGGGTAGGTCGCAACATATCAAGCCTGGGTCGAGTCGGTCAAAACATGAATTGCAAACCTCTAGCCGGGTATCGCAAAATCGCAAAATTTTGTGTTTGGATTGCACAAACTTGCAAAATGTTTTTTTTTTGGGGTCGGGCATAGTCGCGTATACATTGCGGTCGCGCAAATTTGCTACATATCTGTTTTGGGTCGCGCAAAGTCACAAAAAATACGGTCGCACAAAGTTGCAGGATACCCTTTTTGAGTTGCAATAGTCGCAACATACCTTTTGTGGGTCGCACAAAGTCGCAAAATTTATTGGTCACGCAACGTCACAATGGTCGCAACAAACCCATTTTGAGTCGCAATGGGCGCAGCATAAGTCCTCAACCTCGACCCGGGTTGTATATTTGATGCCAAATTTTGGCAAATATCTTTTCGTTCAATAAATCTGAATGAAACTAATCAACTTAAAACTGCTCATTTCAACATTTTAGTTTTTTTTTACACGCGTAAAAACTGTTCACAAAAAACTAGTTAGCCTAAAATGCTATTGCTTTTGACCAATTAAAATGCTCAAAGTTGTCGATTTGGCCACCAATTTGGCATTAACTATAATATCAACTCCATTTCACTGTCTCCAGGTCAGATTTATTTCAGAAACTCAAGAGTTTGTCCAAAAAATTTGTTAAAGCTATAAAGGTCAAAAAAATGTGAATTAATTCTAGTTTCAAAATGAAATTGAGCTTTCTTGTTGCAAGCGAAAGAAAAAAACCACGTGTTGATCCAGTTATCTCTTAATGGGATTTTAACAAGAAAAGTGCAAATCATAAACAATTCTCGAAATTCAAAATGCCGTAGAGTGATATATTTTTCTCCAAAACTCGACGGTTTCAAGCTATTTTTTTTTCGACTTCCTTGTTGTTCACCTTTTTCCAACTGTTTGTTGGCTATGTTTCTTTCATTCTTGTGATGATGTTTTCATAAGATGAGCCCCGTGACGAGGAGAAGGAGATGAAGAAGGAGGAGTGTCGCTACAGTAAGTTTGGGGCATGGAGCAAGTGTGTGGGGGGCCAGAAGTACAGGACTCAGAACCTGAAAAGGGGCCACGAGAAGTGTGTCTCCCAGAACACACAGTATCGCAGCTGCACCAGCGAACGCAAAACTGGTACGTACTCCTCAGTCACGAGATAGAAATAATAACTTTGACTTTCTTCTAAGAGGTTAACTTGTCTAACCATAATCCGTGATCAAAATTACCAAGATTCAAGTGTCGCCTAAATCAAACCTGGTTCTCTGCTTTTCAATCCGACCACCGAAAATTTCAAGATTCGGTGCTTCTGCGCACATCAAAATACACATCAATCAGTTCCTCCTGATCTTTTAAACAATTTTGAAGTTTAAATTTTGCATTTCAGGCTGCCAGTACTTGAGAAGCGAGAAGAAGTGTGGCAAATGCAACAAGGAGATCCCACGAAAGAAGGTGTGTCACGCCCCTCTGAACCAGGAGGAGTCCTCTTCCTCCTGCAACAAATCCCTCCGAATTGAAAAGCCCTGCTGAGGGGGACTAGGGACTAGCAGCACTGATAATAACTTAATTGAATTTATGGCGATGGGTTACAATCAATATAGAAGGTCCTTATTGAACTATGCTCACCAGGGGTTAATATACATTGAAAAAAAAGTTTTTTTTTAAATGAGTGCTGCAAACGTGATTCTTGAACCAATTATTAGGAAAATGACAATTTAGTGAAATTAAAACTTCAATCGAATTGTATAACCCAACCAAAAGATTGTAGAAACCAGCGAAAGCTTAAAGTTTGCATGGTTTTTGCAACGGTTATGCAATTAATATGAAAGCGCCAATTATTTTCGTGGTGGCTGATCTATAGTTTGCCTGGGCTTATACTACCTATGCTTTTTGATGACTTTGAGCATAAACTCTTAAAGACTTATTATGTTGTTCGAATTGGTATCTCATACGCACAACCATTGAGTTATTTCTTCATAGGGGTGGCAATTTGTTACCATCAGGTACCATACGGGGATAGTTAAAGAGATCCAACCTTTGCTTAGTTGATGCCATTTGGTGAAATTGGTGACAGTTCTTTAGTGAAATAGTCAACCCCTCGCAACTCGCAGGGAGACATTTTCGCAAAATGTTTCACATTGTAGCCCATCGCCAATGTTGCTTGGTTTCTTTTGAAAGCAGAGAATGTAATGCACGATTTAGAAGATTGAAAAAATAATATTCTTAAAGAATGTTGTTGAAATTTAGTAGAGTAATGCGTAGTTTGGTATGAAAATTGATAAATGTGGCGTTTTCTGAGTTTTTTTCTGTAAGCAATGGTTTGAGAACATGTTCAAGGAATAAACACCTATCAAAACCCGTTTCACGTGTTTTGATAACCACCTAGGTGATAGTAGGGGCCGAAGAATCTCGGAGGCATTTAATGCAATTTTCGTAATTAGAGCGAAACTTATGAAACATTTTTCAAGTAGGGATATCGGATTTTTTTTGAGCTCTGCCGAAACCCAAGCTGACCATAATTGACAAAACTTTATAGATTACTGCAGGCAATTTATGCAAAAAAAAACACCGGTTCTTATAATATTTGTAAGTTTATGGCCAAAAATTTGCGTTTTTTTTTGGCGCGCGCTTCCCCTCAAAATCAGTTCATGCTAACGCCAAAGGTGCCTTTCGAAGACTTTTAAGTTTGGTCCACCACAAAACTGCCGCTCATGCCACTGAATTAATAGCGTTGTATTAACTAGATCTTGATTAGAAATCTGAAAAGTTCGCGTTAAGAAACTTGTCTATTTTTTCCTGAGCATTTATATATACTAAAATTTGGACTTACATCAAATTTACTTCAATTAGCAATTGGTATTTTTATAGTATGTCTATGACTACTCTTGTTGTTCAATTGAGCTCTAGGGAAATGGGCGTTTGTTTCTTTTGTCTTCTTGGGTGATAGCAGATTTGAACTCTGTGGTCTAGGGGTCGTAGTAGGGGTTAAGTAGCTGATGTTCTGGTCAATCCAACTATTGCATTTTCTCACCGCTCTCGCCGCCTCCTTTTTACTCACACTGCTATAAACGGATACAGTGAACTCAAAGTTGGGGTGTTGCTGGCCGTCAAAGCTATCCAAATTGTTCTAAAAAATAGTTACGAGTTTTTCACTTAGTCGACTAAAACATTATAACTGCAGAACTGCAGTCGCAAAAAGTGCTGAGCGTTTTTTGAAGTCGAAATAATTTTCGAAAGCATGTATTGTTGCATTGTTGCCACTTTTAAAGAAAGTGACGGAATATTTGTGCTCGGGTGGTTTTCATCTTCAGACAAACTTCGATTATTTAACTAGCCATTTTTGACGAATTTTTGAACCATTTGAAAGGAATTATTCTCTTGAGCTCAAACTTAAAAAATTACTTCACTTGTGATTTGGTAAAGCAAAAGAGGTTTAAAAATTGCCATTTTGGCCGACTAGAGGCAATTAACGCGCGATACTTTTCGCGCTGTTAACGCGTAAGTGGAAATTTATTCCGTCTTAGAAATTGTTTCAAATTGGTTGAAGTAGGCTATTTGTCAGAATTGTTAAGTTACTACGAGCCAAATCTATCACTTTATAATTTATATCTCGTGTGATTTTTATATTAATCTCAAATTAAAGAAAAATTCAGTTTTTTTTTAGACATACATCAATTGTTATAAAGCGAACACTGGTTCATAGAACTTATAAGGCAGTCAAAGTATTAAGGCCTTCGTCCTGATCTAGGCAGTCTCGTTTTGTTTTTGAAATTGTTAGTCACTTATTACTTCAAAATCGTAGTGCTGGGAGACGTAAGAGCTTTGTACAGATTGCCAAACTCAAAACGTTCAGAACACTAAAAGATCAAAATTCAACAAACCAGCTCAAATCTAGACGAATCAAGAAATACTCCGACTGGCGTTTAACACGCATGAAGTACTTTATTACACACAAAAAAGTATATCAATTTTTCTTACCATCAGTGACATGCGTTGAAATTTTTTCAGTGGGCGCGGTTTTTCGAGAAAAATATTGAAAATTTGGTCGACCTTTTTGTGTAGGTCGACCAATTTGTTTTTCTAAGTTCTTCGAAAATAGTATAACTACCATGTTCTGACAAAAAAAATCTGCGCTGCCTTCAAATTGTTGAAAAAACGGCTAAAAATAACGTGTTGAGCTTTTTCAAAAACTCATTTACCAAAAATTACATTTTTTTGGCTTGGGCTTCCCCCTTAAATTTAGTTATTTTGGTACCTAAGGCGCCTCCTGAAACTTTTTGATATTGGTCCACCAAAAACGGATCTCGTATAATATACTTTGGAAAATTATGGGAACCGGAATTGAGGGGAGGTCGCATGTATCTCAGTTAAAATGACGCTTTGCAAAATACTTGAGATTGTTATTGACAAGATTGTAATTTTTTTTTTCGATCAGATGATTCACTTAACAATTATTAGTAAGAAATGAACTTTTTCTGCTAATTCATAACAATTTGACGTAATTTTCTAACAAATACAAAATTTTGACGGCCATTTTGTGCTTCACTCAAGTTGTAACCAATTGCAATCACTAAAAACATATTATGGTTGGGTCTTTCGAATTCATAGTTTCAACTATAAGCAAAAGAGTTCTTATTGCGTAGAGTCACGAATTTTATTTGGAGTAAAATACTTTTACCGAAAATTGGCTTCACTCAAACTACAAATCACAAACTTGTCGAGTATCTGCCAAAACAGAAACAAAAAGAATTGATCGAGACGCCTAAAGCGAATAATTATGACTTTTCAGTGGAAAAATTGGATGCCCGAAAGTTGATAAAAATTTAAAAGAACTAAGCGAGAGATATACTTTGTCGCAGTTGCCAGTGCGGTTATGCCAGTAACAAACGATTAGGATACTCAGTTTGCCTTCTCAACTAGAGACAAGATGATTTGAACGGCTGCGTGTCCATGTAAGCAGCTAGATGTCAACATGCCAGCCATCACCGTTGCGCAAAATTTCGTAATTCCAGAAGATTTTGAAAAACTTATCCGACAAGGCAGAAGATCAAAATTGTTGTCAGCGATATTCAATTCATAATAGTGTATCTGGCGTTGCACCAGCTTGCATATACGCCTTCCTTCCCAACAAAACCGATAAAACTATATGAATGATTTTCGATAGTTTTAATTGATCTAGCACCAAACTGCCACCCGAAATTTTTTTCTTAGATCGTGAGCAAGGTGCTCTTCACTCCTTTCAAAAAAGTCCCCGGAGCATTATCTAGCTTGCGCCAAGCCAGTGTATATTTTGCTTATTTTTGTGTTCAATTCATTTGTATTTTAAAACTCAGATTTTCAATACTACCCATTTTCCGGTCAGTTTTTTTGTAGAAACGTTTCCTTGCAAACTCCCGGAAAACGTAATCAACGCAACCACTTGAATTGTGTGCAAGGATGTCAACCCCAGGACAATCTCTCTTTTTTGGAATTTGAGATTGGGACTAGGGGCTGGAAAACTCTTCAGCTTTGTAGTGATGTATTAAAAATTCAAAAAAGCTGAACAAAACGATCGTGTTATAAATGTAAGCTCGAGAAATATTCCAAAACTGAAACTTTTTTAAAAGCTTTTTGGAGTTAGTGTGGAACCTTTTTAATTTCTGTATTGGACGAAAATGTCGGGAACATCACGCCAATTTTATTCAATGAACATTTATGTAATTTTGGACAGTGGAATTCGTTGAAGGTTTGCTCGTTTTTGATTCGGAAGTTTTTTTAACAATCCGAATTTTTGTTAGATCAATTCTGTTCAGAACTTACGCAAATTAACTAGCGCAAAACTGTCTGGCTTTAAGTTGCGAATATTTTCTGTCTTTATTCTTCTATGTTTACCGAAGTGCCCTATGATGTAAGTTCTTTTTTCATTTTTGAACAAAATGATACTAAGTTTTATAAAAAGTCTTACAATAAAGTGGTTTTAAATTACTGAGGCAAGAAAAGAGATAGAAAAAAAGTATGGCTCTATTGGTTGGCTTTTTTGTATGGCATTTTTTTTACCTCGCAGAGTTTTTTTGTTCAATTAATTCAAAAATCAAGCACCAGGTTAGATGTAATCAAATTTCAAAATCAGTTCATTATTAAACGGTCCGAATAATGAACCCTTTCAGGCTACCGTTTCTTCTTTGAAAAATCCAAAAAACATAATATGCGTGAAGTTCCCCGTTGAGTCGGATTCTTTTTTGCTGAGTTTTCCAGAGAATTAATTAGGCTTGCGATTAGGAAGCTTTATCCCCCTGGAATAAAAACTTTTTTGGATTAACAACTTGTTTTACAGAATCACTTGAATCACTTCTATCTTAGTTCATAATGAATTCAAACTTATATGCCTTCACGGCTAACTCAGTCTACAGGTTACGATTTTGCCTGGAACAGCAAAAGTTTTGGGTTTGTGACCAGGACCTAATTTTTTTCAAACTGAAAGTCTTTGTCTGCTTATCTCTTGTTGGCTTAGTTGTCACATCTTGGAATCGTTTTTTTCGCTGTATTTTTTTAAATCGGCTTAATGACCTAATTGTGGGTCGTTTATAATAAAAATCAACTTTAACAGTCTTTTTGTAATTTTCAAACGTTTAATAATCGGTTGGTTGATTTCTCTTTT